AAGTACGAAAGTACAAAATGTACAAAAGTTAGTTAACGAAGTGTGGCGAAATTACAAATTACAAGCATAATCCGACAAGGAACTAGATATTATTGTATCTAAGAGAATCGAAGAAGAATTGCAAGCGGCGACTAAGAATAACTCCAATCTACTAAATTTCTTGTCTAAGCTGAGTGACGAAATCATTTTAGGTACCTATGAGTACTACAAATATTAAAAATCGCCAAAAAGTTTCTCTTTACTGATTAGAAAATATTATGGCCTATCTCAGTATATAGTACAGATGCAATATTCATTATATTACAGGATGTTACTTTTATACATATATGCAGAAAACTAACACCCTGTATTTTGTGACCGGAACGAATTGCTCGTTTAAACATATTAGATTTAAAGCCATAGGGTGTTATATTTACCATACATATTGCCATACTTTGTATTTATGTAGTTTAATAAGAGAATCTTTAGCAGGAGCCATAGAAAGTTTTTATTTTTAGTCAACCTGTAAACCTGCAGAAAAAAACAAATTATACAGCCAGCTTTAAATATTAAAAAAAAGGAAGAAGATAAAATAAAATCCGGTAATGAATCACAACAGCAATGCGAAATTAATGAAAATACAGATAAACAGAGAGCAAAACCTTCTCAGGAAGCGATGAAAAATAAGATTGCTCTACTCGAAAAAAATCTGAATGCTTTGTATTCTGCCAGAGTTACTGTGCCAAGCCGTGCTGAAGTTGATAAACAGATCATTAAGTTGCGCGAGGAAATGAAAACAGCAAAACAGTCTTTAAACAGGAAGGTTCAAAACGCAGTTGCCCAGAATAAACTCAGGGATGGTATGACGTCAGTGGGACGTCATAATCTAGGAAGCAATCAACATTCACTATTGAAAACAATCGCGGATATAGCTTTATTTGGGAGTGCAGCAGATGATAGAAGACGAACGGAATCAATTCGCAGCGTAAAAACTCTTGATCAACTCACACAAGAATTACGTAAAATATGATTTGACATTAGTCGCAGTGGGACATATCTTCGTTTGATTCCCAGAAAATCTAATTCTGCAGAGGGACGAAGACATGTATCGACAGTCCCTGTTAAGCTCATTCGGGCTCAAACTGATCACCACAAGAGCCACTTAGATAGCAAGTTCGCTGAAACATCAATCCATTATTAATTTAAAGAACATAGCATCCATACCTGGACCAGATCAAGTATTTTTCATATCTCAAGATGATAAAGCTCGAGTCCCTATTGGCGTAACTGCGGAAAATAAGCAAGCACCTCTTCTAATGCACATGGAATATACGTTAGAATCAAATTGCCTGATCACGATTGGGTAATCGCCGAGCGTCATAAATTAATACCATCTGTTTATGCTGGTATCAAAATCACTTCCAATATGCTAGGACAACCGCAAGCCGTTGGATATTCTGGACCAACATACATCGCTATTCGCAGTAGAAAGCATAGTTCATCTACTGCTAATACTCATGCTCAGGATTTCGAGACGCTTCTCGAACTTGAAGAGTTTCGACCATTAGCTAAAACTGACCATCGACTAGTAAAACCAGTGGTAATCATGACGGTTGATGGAGGGCCAGATGAAAATCCACGTTGTCAAAAAGTCATAGGGTTTGCTATACAGCACTTTAAGCGACATGATCTCGATGCATTGTTTTTAGCTACCAATGCTCCTGGAAGAAGTGCGTATAACAGAGTAGAGCGCAGAATGGCTCCTCTTAGTCGGGAACTGGCTGGTTTAATATTGCCTCATGACCATTTTGGGTCTCATTTGGATGAACGTGGCGTTATAATTGATGAACATTTAGAAAGATCTAATTTCGAATTTACAGGAAATGTATTAGCTGAAGTATGGAGTTCAATCGAAATTGATGACTCTAATGTTAATGCAAAATATGTTGGGGCAGGTGAACAAGATCTTCCTGATTTTCCAGACATTAAATGGTATTCAGATCAGAACATGTGCGTGAGAGCCAATACTTGCTTCAAATTGTAAAATGTAGAAATACAGAATTCTGTCGTCCAAGAAGTGGCCTATTTAGATTACTAGACAATAGGTTTCTTCCACCACCTGTAAAAGTAAAACAAACAGTTGAAGACTTGGTTTTGGATGAAGGAGGGCAATTTCTTAATCTTCCAGTCAATTTAGCTCTACGCTTAAGTGCTTCACTGAAAGATTTCCTGCAAATGCCCTACGATTATTTTTATCCGACGGTAAAATTGAGCTATCAAGTCGAACATGCAAAACGTGTGGTCTTTATCATGCTTCCGTCAAGTCACTAAATCGACACATCGAAAATATCCATAAAAAAGTAAACACGCACCCTGATAGGAAAGTTAGACCTGTAAGAGTCGCTGCTCGTAGTGCTAATGAACTGATGTGCATTATTCACAATTCAGAGCACCATGATGTTGAATGGCTCGATGAGAACGACGTAGACATTCCAAAATCCGATGACAGCGAGCAAACTCACAACACTGAGCAGCAATCGAAGCAATCCAATGTCATCGAAAACTTAGAATCATGGATTCGGGTTTCATGGACTGAAGACTGTTAATTTGAATTTAATATATGTACCAAAAATTTAAAATACGTTTGTTATGTTAGTAAGATATAATATTTTTACTTTTCTCCTCATGACCTCCTCATTCTAAACAAGGACCAGATAACACGTACCTTCGAGTACTGCTCACATGTTATGCTGTGAGACTGATCGATGACTCTTCTCCAACCGACAGTCCCGGGGCGCTTTCGTACCGGCAGGCGGGTAATATAACCCCGACTTACGACGTTTTCCTTACGACCATTTCAATGGAAACAGCCAATTTTCTGCTTGAGGACACAAGCAAAGCGTCTAGATGTTATCAAGTTCACCAGCAGCCGCAAGGTGTATGTCTAACCGAGAAGGAAGTGCACACAAACACACATACACATAACGAAAGTGAAATACATTATGTAATATTATGGTTTCTCTCCGACCGATGGCAGCGTGACCCCAATTGCCAGGTAATCAGCTATGAAGACGTCCGAAATGTAAAGTACACGGCGCCCACAGATAATCATCAATGCTGTCACTTATTATGTATACTAAGTGACATATAAATCCGAACACCTAGTACTTAATGAAGCATAATAAGTAAATGATAAAAATTTCAAAATCATTGCACTGCTTTAAAGCCCTTTGACCTTTAATAATGTGTGGATGCACCCTGATGTGCTACGCATTCTCCAACGCGCCTAGGCATGCTTCTGATCAGGTGGTCAATGTCCTCCTGTGGTATCTCATTCCAGGCAACCACCAACTCCTCTCGAAGTGCTTCTAGAGTCTGAGGAGGACGTTGCAAATTGAGCAATCTCCTACCCATCATATCCCACACGTGCTCGATTGGGGATAAGTCGGGAGATCTTGGTGGCCATGGTAACAATGTGACATCATTATGTTGAAAGAAGTCTATTGTGACTCTTGCAACATGTGGTCGGGCATTATCTTGTCGGAAAGTTGGATCTGCCAGGGTGTCAAGATAGGGTAAAAGATGGGGTTCTAGAACTTCGTGGATATAACGCTGCGCGTTCATGTTACCTCTGATGAAGATTAAAGGTGACCTGGAACCATAAGCTATAGCACCCCAAACCATAACTCCAACAGTGTGATGAACATGTCTTTCAACAAAAAACTGTGGATTCCTCCTTTCACCACGTCGCCTTCTAACCCTGGCACAACCATCGTGCATGCCTAAACAAAATCGAGACTCGTCACTAAAGACAATACTGTTCCATTCCTGATCCCAGAGTGACCGTTGTCTACACCACTCAAGGCGATTACGTCGGTGTTCTCGAGTTAAAGGGAGGACCCAGTGTGGCCGGTATGAAAACAAGCCAAAACTTCTCATTCGTCGGTAAACACTTCGCATGCCAATAGGTCTTCCGTGTTCTGCAAACCATTCATTTGCAATGGACCTGGTAGTGAAGAAACGGTCCCTTAAGGCCAATAATCTTCACGGTCTGTTGTTCTACGGCGGCGTCCAGTGCCCCTTGCTCTTTGCGTACGGCCTTCTCGAAACCATGCCTGACAACACCTAACTACAGTGTCTACACTTCTTTGCACTCTAACTGCAATTGCCCGAAAAGAAGGTCCAGCTTCCCGAAGTCCCACTATACGGCCCCTATCAAACTCACAAGTTAACGAAATCGTACAGGTCTCCGTACTCTAGGCATCGTAACCGATCGTAAAGGATGTCAAGAACCAAAATCCGCCAACGTTGATTCTTTACTGCGGCTGAAATATTCATTTTTAGAGCGTTAGTGAATTAAAAAAAAGCAGTATAAAAACCGGAATGTCCAACTGATAAAGCTGAAAATTTTTTCACTTGTTATTTACAGTAAGATAAATACATTCACCAACTTTTATTAAAATAAAGCCATAAACTGGGTGTTCGGATTTATATTTCACTTAGTATATAAATAGAGAAGAAATAGAAACCAATCTGCTTGTGCTTACCTACATTCTTTGGACTGCTGTGCGAACTATACTTCTACTTCAACTATATTTCTTACCTGAAAAAAGAGAAATTGTCAATATCACTAAATTATCAAACATATGGTATTAACAAAATGTATGGTAATTAACTACTCACAACATAAACAAAAACGAACTAGCCCGTTATGAATACCATTTTAACGCTAAATACGCTCTTTGATTTCAATGCCCATAATGAGCTTTGGTTGGATCTCTCTCTGACCTCGCATCCTGTCCTTTAAAGCAGTGTCCAGGGGTGATTGGAGATAAACCGTTCTTCAGTTACTCTAGGCACTGATTACACACTGTTTTAGATATGTTTACATCTGACACATTGGAAAAATTCTTTATATCAAAAAAAAAATCGCCTACTGATTTGACCTAAAAAATGTACGTATCTTTTTCAGGTTGTGTGATCATGGAGTTGGGATCGTACAATCACCGACAGTAAGCAAGTCATGAACCTCATAACTCCTGGGAACAGAGAGAAGAAAGCAAGAACGGTGTTCAGAAGAAAAATGAAAAACCGCCCGCCCGATTAGCGAAAAACTGTTTTTCGGCTCGGGCATTTTTCTAGTCAAAATAAGGTAAAATCTGAAATGAAATGGGCAACTTCAAAACCTTCAAAAACCTATGGTTAACTGCGCTTATATTGAAACAAAAAGATCAAATACTGTCCATGAGAATGTCCGCTGAGCAACGATTTTTATTTTCAGTGTGTAACGTATGTCCGAAATATTTATCGGATTTTTTTTTAATGAAGAAATTTATTTTAACAGCACGAGGGATGTCTTTTAAGTTTTGCATATAGAAACATAGTAGGCCGCGCGGATCTGAATCTAAACCTCACTATTTAGTCAAAGTTTCATAACAATACTGTAACGCTTCCTTTCCGCAAAAAGTCCAGAAAAGATGGAATGCAATAAAGATTCCAACTTTTTTCTGTACAATCACAGAAAGGGGGTTAGCATTAGCTTCCGGTAGCTCAGTCGGTGGCATGAAGACATCTACAGGCGTGTAGCTGTGTGTCGACCATGGCATGGATAGAGGATAGAAGAACAAACAGAACACAAAAATTTAACAGATTTTATTTAATAAAAAAAAGCATTTTCATTACATTATAATTTTACAGTTTTAAAGAACAAAATAAGTTTTACATCTTTGGCGCTGCTATAAAACTATCAACTTATCTTTCGCTGGTCCATTTTGACTCGACTGAAGCGAGGATGGCCAGGTGCTTGAAGTGGAGGTCCCAGTTATGAGGGGTGACCTCACATATAGTGGCTTCATAACCAGTTGTAGGCGAAGTTGAACTTAAAGGCGATGGCGCTGCCAAGGCACATGCATGGGTGAAGTGATAGGCCAAGCAGCGCAAAGTCAAAGACTAAGGCAAAGGGAAAGGGAAAGAGAAAGGGAAAGGGCAAGGGAAAGAGAAAGGGGGTGGCCCCAATCATTTTGTCCTATACGGACACACATTCTACAAAATTCTAGCACATGGTGCTATATGACCTTGTGCTACAGAGAAGAAAATTCTTAGCTCTTGTTCGATCGGCGGCTCAAGTGAAAAAAAGAGCGAGGAAGATCGCAGATCAGGAACTCCGCATCAAGCGGTCCAAGCGGAAAATTTTCAAGTAAAAAGCTAGAGATGGGATTAATGAAACGATAATCGAGAAGTGATTTAATAAATACGATCGGACGGTTGAACCGTTACAATACGTGCAGACTTCTCACTACAGTGAATTTTTAAGTGTTACCAAGTCATTAGAAAAATGGAACTCAACCGAGAACATTTTCGCGCCATAATTTATTACAATTTTCAGAGACAATTATCGCAACAAGAATGCCTTGCTGAGTTACTGTCTGTTTTCGGCGAAGAAGTTTCTCGTTGGATACCCCACCTGTTGACTGAAGAGCAGAAAACAGCCAGGGTTAATTGGTGTCAAAAGACGCTTGACCGTCTCAATTCCGGAAACTCAAAAAATGTGTGCAGCATTGTTAGTGGTGATGAATCGTGGATTTACTGTTATGAACCAGAAAATAAACGACAGTCGGCTGTTTGGGTGTTCCAAGGTGAAGAAAAGCCAACAAAACATTTGTGTCAAAAGCGGGTCATATGGCAACAATTCCTCTTAATGAGCAAAGAACTGTTACTGCGGATTGGTATACCACCATTTGTTTGCCAAAAGTCATCACCGAGCTTCGAAAAATCAACCCCGAAAGAAGAATCATCCTCCACCAAGACAATGCAAGCTCGCACACAGCCCAAAAAACAAGGCAGTATTTAACGGAAGAAAACGTGGAATTATTGCACCATCCTCCATATAGTCCCGATCTAAGTCCTAACAATTCCTTTACTTTCCCGAAAATTAAAAACAGACTGCGTGGTCAAAGGTTCCAGTCACCAGAAGAAGCAGTTGACGCATTCAAAAATGCCGTTTTGGATCTGCCAGTGGAATAAGTGCTCCGAAAAATAGTCATTTAAAACTACCTACCGTGTTGTTTTATTTCCATATGCAAAACTTAAAGACATCTCTCGTAACTACTTATCACAAAGTCAACAGTTAACTAAACTATACTATGAATTGTGTGGAGTGGCCTTAATTGTTGTTTATCTTGGGCTTACCAGTAAATGCACTTGGTGCTTAATAATAATTATAAATAATTCACACGTCATCTTAAAGAGGAAGCGTCAAAATAAATTAATGTCAACTGACAGTAAAGCAAGCGAACAAAATTTTGTTTCCAAAGGCTACTTGATATTATTTTGTGTTAGTTAAAATTAAAGATAATGAATATTGTGTCAAAACTTTTAGGACGCACGTTACAATAAAAGGAATTTTAACTATATGTGGTTTGAAATATTGAGAATTGTAGAAAAGTGATACTAACGGGTGATTTTTAAGAGGTATAGGATTTGATTTTCAAAAAAACACAAAAAATTTGAAAAAAACGATTAAATCTTTATTTGAGTCGATAGAACGGTCGATATAATTTAATGTTTAAAGATTATTTCATGTAAATGTTGGCCGCGGCTCCGCTTTAGATGGCCCATGCGCAAGGTCCAATTTTGGCACACTCTCTCCAACATATCGGCCGGTATCTCACGAATAAATGCTTCAATATTGGGTTCCAGTGCGTCAATCGTTGCTGGTTTATCCATGTAGACATTAGTCTTAACATGGCCGCACAAGAAATAGTCCAACGGCGTTAAATCGCACGATCTAGGCGGCCAATTGACGTGAGATAAACTGTTCACCGAACTCGCCTCTCAATAGGGCCATTGTTTCGTGTGCGGTGTGGCATGTGGCACCGTGTTGTTGAAACCACATGTCAGCCAAGTCCAGCTCTTCCATTTTGGGCAAAAAACAGTTTGTTATCATCGCACGGTAGCGCTCGCCATTCACAGTTACGTTCCGGCCAATGTCGGCTTTGAAGAAGTACGGCCCGATGATGCCACCGGCCCATAATCCACACCAAGCAGTGATTTTTTTCGGGATGCATTGGTAGCTCTTGCAATGCTTCTGGCTGGTCGTCACTCCAAATGCGGCAACTTTGCTTGTTAACGTACCCATTCAACCAGAAATGAGCTTCGTCGCTGAACACAATTTTTCGATAAAAATGTGGATCTTCCTCCTACTTTGCCAGCGCCCATTCACCAAATGGGAAATGTTGTGCGAGGTCGTGTGGCTTCAATTCTTGCACCAGCTGTATCTTATAAGGTTTTACACCCAAATCCTGTCGCAAAATTTTCCACGTAGTGGAGTAACAGAGGCCCAATTGCTGCGAACGGCGGCGAATCGACATTTAATAATAATAATAATAATAATGTTTATTGGAGTATTAATACATAATAGAATCAAAATACGAGCAAATAATATAATACAAAAAAAATAATACTCCAAAGGGCTGGCGATTGGCATAGCCATTTTTCACCCCCGCCTGAATAGCTAAGGTAAATTCATTAAGTACATTACTATATCTTACTAGGGTATATCATATACATTACATAAGGGATATTTGGTTGACTATAATAATGCTAACAAAACTTTAAAATATAATAAGATTAATAATGGGATTTATTCAGCCACTTGTGGATTCATTAAATTGTAACTGTAATAGCATTCTTTTGAATTCTCTTTTGAAGCTGTGAATGGACGTTAATTTAAAGAAACTTGGGTAATCATTTAGTATACTGGGAGCTATGTAATAGAAACATTTTTTAAATTTTGAGGTAGTGTGGGCTGGTATATTATAACAATATTCATTACGGAGGAACAGTTGATGGAGTGAAGATCTTTTCTCTAATGTGTCAAAAAGATATTTCGGAGATTTATATTTTAAAACCCTAAATAGTAGAACAGCATAGAGAAGTAACGAGCGATATTTGAACTTTAAAAGATTTTCCCTGACATAATACCCAGTAATGTGTTCGCGTCTGTTTATCTCATTGAAACAAAACCTCATACAATGGTCTTGTAAAACTTGAATTTTCTGTTGCATTTCCTCAGTGATAAAAGGGTAATATACAGTACTACAATAATCTAAATGTGTGAGGATTAATGCATTAACAAGTTTTAGTTTGATATCACTTGTTAATATATACTTATATCTCCATAGCGATTTGTATTTATAATAACATATTCTGAGCTTATTTATAATGTGACTTTCAAAACTTAAATTCTTATCAAGTACTATTCCCAAATTTTTTGTTTCTTCAACAAATTCAATGTTAATTCCTTCTAAAAATATGTTCGTATTTATTACTTGTTTACACTTCAGAATCGCTAGTCTAGAACCAACACAACATACTTTGGTTTTCAAGGGATTGAGCTTCAAACAATGATTTTTTTAGTACTGTTCAATTATGTCTAAATTTTATTAAGTTCTAATATTAAAGAATCTACATCGGTTGGTTGACATGGTTTGTAAACTTGTACATCATCCGCATACAAATGTAAATTCCAGTCAGATGATATATGTTTTATCAGATCTGAGGTATAAAAAGTAAATAAAATAGGACCTAAAACGCTGCCTTGTGGAACACCAGACTTCAAAGCTCGTAAAGTGGACACTTTACCACGCAATTTTACACATTGAGATCTATCAAACAAGTAATTACTAAACCACAGCATGGCATTTCCGGTCAAACCATAATAGTGCAGTTTTTCACACAAAACTCTGTGATTTACCATGTCAAATGCCTTGCTGAAGTCTAGCATGACTAGTAGCGGAAATTTTAATGAGCGCTGTAGATGTATTATGTAATTTCCTAAACCCAGACTGGGTGTCAGGCAACACTTTGTTAATTTCTAGGTGCTCACGAAGTTCATCATCTACAATTTTCTCTAACAGTTTGGACATTGAAGGTAAAGCACTTATTGGTCTGAGGTACTTAAAATCGATGGCATTATTAACTTTTACAAGTGGTGTTATGACTGCTTTTTTCCATAATGATGGCACTTCCCCTGTACTCAGTGATTGGTTGATGATACTGGTTAGCTGATATTTACAAAAAGAGAACACGTTTCTCAATATGTTTGTAGTGATACCATCAACGGTCATCACTAACACTGGCGGATACAGCCGCAATATTTTCTTCAGTCCTCAGTCTACGTCTGCGTGTTGGTGGTTTAATGTCCAATAATGTAAACTGGGTTCGAAATTTAGTCACAAGCTTCCGAATAGCTCCCTCAGTAAGCCGACCAAATTGCCCATAAATTGGAAGCAGTGCTCGATGCACTCTCTTAACCGAGCATGAATTTTGATAGTAAAATTCAATAATTTGCAAGCGTTGTTCGTTCGTAAGTCGATTCATGGTTAAATTATAGACCAAACTGAATAAGTTTGACAATGACACAAGGCACGATTCACGCGTCATCTGTCAAAAACAGTGTTGCCAAAAAGAATCTAGCAAAAAAATCACCCATTATAAAGCTTCGACAATTTAAAAGGTTAATAGCAGACTATCTTTTCAGCAAGCTGTGATATTACCGTAACGCAAGATGGTAGTGGAGACTCTTCTTGTATCGACGGCTGTAAAGACTGTCAGTATAGTTGGATCAACCTTATGGATCATTCCTCTGATCTTAGCTGGACTGACCTACGTCAACTACAACCGATACGATCCAGAATCGCACATTATCGAGCCCCGGAGTTTACGGAAAGACTATGACTTCATCGTCGTTGGTGGAGGATCTGCAGGTGCCGTGGTGGCATCGAGATTGTCGGAAATCCATGATTGGAATGTAAGTATTTTCAGGTCCACTAGCGAGAAAGTATGGAAATTTAAAAAAACTTTACTTTTTGGATAAGAAAAATCGTGACACTCATTTCCATTGGTTTGTCTGTTATTTCGTCTGACCGCCTGCTGAACCAGTCGCAGCGAAGCTTCTGACAAAAACAAAAAAAAATCTCGAACTTCGTTTGTGGCGTATGAGACCCCATTTATTTGCTGAAAATTATTCAGGGAGGTTTTAAATATTGCATATTTGGCATCAGTAAAAGACTCAGTAGTCACAAATATGGTGGATTGGCAAGCAAAAAATCATTAGAAAAAAGTCTTTACATATCTAGTGAAGTTCCAATGTCAGTCGAATCCTTTGAATAAATAGACTTAAGCTTGATCCATTCTTTCTACTTCCTACGCTAACTGGAGAGGAAGTAGTGTGATGACAAAAGATTCAGAAAGTGGAATAAATGATGTCTCATTTCCTCGATCTGTGTCCTGTGTATAATAATAATAATAGTATTTAATACCCTCATTTAACACTATATAGGGTGTCCCAGAAGTCGACGTCAAGCCGAAACCGGGTGATAGGCAAAGTCATAACAGCTATCAGAAAAATATTTAAAAAAATTTATATGTGTTTTGAAAATTATAGGTCTTTGAAAGAAATATAGAAATTTCACACCTTATGGCAGTCTGTCAACTCCTGTTACTACAAATATTAACTTTCTTTGGATTTTATTTTTACAATGTAATGATGAATAATGCATCTTCAAACTGGTGTCTCAACCTTACTGCCAACTTTTCTCGTTAAGGAAAAATTGCCACTTATTTCCCAACCAAGTATTCCAAAGTAAAACTTTGCTCAACTTTAACTGGCTGTACTGGAAAAAAATGTACTACGAGAGTTTGACAAGTAACCTTAAAAGTTGGCGCATTTAATAAGGATTCCAAAATGGTATAACACTTAGAAGATTACTCGTTAACTTATGCACAATTTTTATTTGAAGAAAAACTGATGAAAATTTTTCAAAATTTCCTAATTAAACAGCGATTATGAAAACGCACAAGGACCCTTAAGGATAACTGTTTGCACAACAGTGGGCGTCAAAATGCTGCTGATGACCTTTACAGCAAATGCTCAAACTGTTTTCCTTCAGCCGCAATACACGCTCGACATCTTCTTAAAAAAGATCGGATTATTAAACGATCGAATCCACGGTTATTAACAAAGTCAGCTGAATCGGCTTCAAATACACTTTTTCTTTTACAGTTCTCCAGTAAAAAAAAATCTAACGGATTCAAATCTGGTGACCGGGCTTGCCACGGTATTGTACCAGACCGCCCTATCCATCTGCCTGGAAAGTTTTGATCGAGATACTCTCTCACTGAGAGTGCATAGTGCGCTGGGCAGCCATCATGCTGAAACCACATGTCGCTGTAAATACTCAGTGGCACGTCCTCCAATAAATTTTCTAAATGATTTTGCAAAAAACCTAAATAAACCTCAGCAGTCAAAGTCTCTGGGAACTCAAACGGACCGATTATTTTAGCATTTAAAATTCCTGTCCAATGGTTTATCTTGAAGCGATATTGAGATTTATCTTCTCTCATCAAGTGTGGGTTTGCTACGTGCCACTCGTGTAAGTTATGCAGGTTCATGTACCCATCTTTCTTAAATGTGGTCTCATCTGACCATAAAATTTTTTTAAAGAACCGTGGATCTTCCCTGTGTCTTTCTAACATTGTGCGACAAAAATCAACTCGGGGCTCATAATCCCGGGGCAGAAGAGCTTGAACACGCTGTACGTGGTATGGATGGAGCACGTTTTTTTGCAAGATTCTATGGGCTGTACTTTTAGGCACACCTGTTTTTAGTTCTATTGCACGCACTGAATTACTCGGGTCTTCTCCGACAGCTCCTAGCACCACGTCTTCGTAAGGAAGGAAAGATCTTCGCTCACCGTGTGATTGGTTTGGTAGTTGGCCCTCTGAGAACAGTAAGCGGTGCACACTTGTGAACAATCGATGATCTGGATGACGAGCTGCATTCGGGTACCTCTCACAGTAAAGTCTCACTGCAGCACTAGCGTTGCATCTGCATTCCCCATAAATGAGGTGCATGTTAGCATATTCCTGTACGGTGTACACGGATATAGCGGCACTGCACAATCACACTATCAAAGATAGTCTAAGGAAAGCAATGTTGTTTTGAAGAGCAATTAAACAGTCCAAATCCAAATCACAAGCGATCAACAGTCCAGTTCACGAATCCAAAATTAGTAACAGTACAAAATCAACAAGCACGAACATGTAAAGATGCGCAGTAAACGAAGGAGTACTGATCGGTATCAAAGTGTGCAATAGCAAGTAAGTGATGTGCTTCATCCATACCACATACAGCGTGTTCAACCTCTCCTGCCCCGGGATTATGAGCCCCGAGTTGCTTTTTGTTGCACAATGTTAGAAAGACACAGGAAAGATCCACGGTTCTTTGAAAAAAATTTTTGGTCGGATGAGACCACATTTAAGAAAGATGGGTACATGAACCTGCATAACTTACACGAGTGGCACGTAGCAAACCCACATTTGATGAGAGAAGATAAATCTCAATATCGCTTCAAGATAAACCATTGGACAGGAATTTTAAATGGTAAAATAATCGGTCCGTTTGAGTTCCCAGAGACTTTGACTGCTGAGGTTTATTTAGGTTTTTTGCAAAATCATTTAGAAAATTTATTGGAGGACGTGTCACTGAGTATTTACAGGGACATGTGGTTTCAGCATGATGGCTGCCCAGCGCACTATGCACTCTCAGTGAGAGAGTATCTCGATCAAAACTTTCCAGGCAGATGGATAAGGCGGTCTGGTACAATACCGTGGCCAGCCCGATCACCTGATTTGAATCCTTTAGATTTTTTTACTGGGGAACTGTAAAAGAAAAAGTGTATTTCAAGCCGATTCAAAATGTAGCTGAGCTACGGCAAAGACTATTGGAAGCAGCTGAGTTTGTTAATAACCGTGGATTCGCTCGTTTAATAACCCGATCTTTTTAAGAAGATGTCGAGCGTGTATTGCGGCTGAAGGAAAACAGTTTGAGCATTTGCTGTAAAGGTAAATCATCATCAGCAGCATTTTGACGCCCACTGTTGTGCAAACAGTTATCCTTAAGGGTCCTTGTGCATTTTCATAATCGCTGTTTAATTAGGAAATTTTGAAAAAATTTCATCATTTTTTTTTTCAAATAAAAATTGTGCATAAGTTAACGAGTAATCTTCTAAGTGTTATACCATTTTGGAATCGTTATTAAATGCGCCAACTTTTAAGGTTACTTGCCAAACTCTCGTAGTCCATTTTTTCCAGTACAGCCAGTTAAAGTTGAGCAAAGTTTTACTTTGGAATACTTGGTTGGGAAATAAGTGGCAATTTTTCCTGAACGAGAAAAGTTGGCAGTAAGGTTGAGACACCAGTTTGAAAATGCATTATTCATCATTACATTGTAAAAATAACATCCAAAAAAAGTTAATATTTGTAGTAACAGGAGTTGACAGACTGCCGTAGGGTGTGAAATTTCTATATCTTTTTCAAAGACCTATAATTTTCAAAACACATACATAAAATTTTTTTAAATATTTTTCTGATAGCTGTTATGACTTTGCCTATCACCCGGAAAGAGAGGAAGAGAAAATGGGAAGCAGGAGATATGTTTTCTATGATATCTGAGACAGTAAATCACTTTTAAGGTTCCTCTTAAATGTAGCTCCCGCGAGAGAAAAATCTTTAATTTTGAATTTATTTACCAAAATGGCAATTTGATATGAGAACGATTTCTTAAATGATTCTTTATTGTGTGATGGTATTGTAATCAAATTCAACCTTCTAATGTTTGGATTATGTACATCAGTCCGGTAACTAATTTTTAAGTGAAGTTAAGGGGGGCTTTTATATTTTATAATCTTGTAAAAAAAGGAAGTAGAATGCAAGGCACGCCTCTGAGCCATATTCAACCATCCCAGTTCAGGTAGCTTGTGGGATACCCTTTGATACCCCTTATGCCAAATATCAGTCTCAGGCAAGAATTCTGAGCTTTTTGAACCGGTTTTCGTTCCACACTATCAAGAAATAGCCATATACCATATAAGCAAGGATGAAATAGGACAACGCTTCGCAGAGCGTGGCTTTAGTATTTTGTGATAGGTAATGTCTATGGGGGTAAATTATTTTTAACATTGAATATGCTTTTCTTAGGCACAGAGTAATGTGCTCTCTAAACTTAAGTTTAGAGTCAACCACTAAGCCCAAATCCTTTAGGGAATCCCTAAATGATATTATATTGTCCCCTAGTTTGAGCTTAATATTATTTTCTAATACGTTCTATAGGAATCACTACAAAACAATATAGCCGTCGATTTACTAGGTTTATCTTTAACAAGTGATCTTCAGAGGTTTTGAGAAGGCTATTCAAGTCGGTATTCAGCCGGTTTGTTATAAGTTCTGACAGATCAGGTTTAAAAGAGGCATACATTTGAGTGTCTTCAGCATAAAGATGATACGTATTGACAATAACTTAGCGACTTCATGAAATTAAAAGTATATAGGCTATAGAATAATGGACCCCAAAATACTGCCCTGGGGCACCCCTGATGTAATTGTAACTGTATCTGATATGTTCCCGTCCAAAGTCACGCGCTGCATCCTTTCAGAAAAAAAAGAATTTATTAATGCAAAGGCCGGCTGCTCTAATCCAATATATTTCAGAATAGCCACTAGTATCTCAGGATTAATCATGTCAAATGCTTTCGTGTAGTCCAATAACACCAAGACAGTAGCATTTCCCGTATCCTGTTCTCTGATGACATCATCCACAAGATCTGTTAATGCTGTGGAACAACTGTACCCGGCTCTAAACCCTGACTGTCCAGGGGGGATTATATTGTTAGCAACTTGTATAGCGATTGCCTTTTCCAAAAGTTTAGAGAGGGTCGAGTAAAAGTGACATTGAACGTAGTTGACCAAATTCTGTCGGATTGTTAACCTTAGCCAATGGAAGAATATTGGCCAGCTTCCAGCTCTTAAGAAAATATGATCTTTTAATACAACTATTTATACTATGGGTAATATAAGGAACTATAAAAGGGCTACACAAGGAAATCAGGGTAACGTTCAGGCTATCAGCGCCAAAAGCCTTCGTCTTGATACTGAGGATGCTATTTAAAACAAAATCTTCGTCGATTAGGTTAAATGAGAAGGTTTCATTAAGCGAGGAGTTGTTGTTTATAGAAATGCAACAATTCTTGTTTTGGAGTATTATTTTGTGATATTTGCGTAAAGTAGGTAATACGTTCATTAACATTCCTCAAATGGTCAGAGATGTATTTATTTTTATTTCTAAGTATATTTAGTTTTTTAGTTCAGCCCATTTTTCCTTTTCAGAGCAAGTCTGAAACCTTAGATATGCCTTTTTTTCGGCTCTAAATAGCAGAAGAGGTCAGGTTTCTTAATTGTTTATAATAGTCTCGATGACCAGGTTGTACGTTCGTTTAAAACGAGAAAGAGCTTCATTTTCATAAACTTAATGTTTTCCTGTGATCCAAGGACTGTATGGTCTTCTTCGACCGTTGCAGTCTTTTAGGGGTGCATGGAAATCGAAAATATTCAGTATAGCGTCTGTTAAAAATGATACCTTATGATCGATGGCATCTATTTGATAATGGGTGATTTTTTTGCTAGTATCTTTTTGGCAACACTGTTTTTGACAGATGACGCGTGAATCGTGTCTTGTGTCATTGTCAAACTTGTTCAGTTTGGTCTATAATTTAACCATGGATCGACTTACGAACGAACAACGCTTGCAAATTATTGAATTTTACTATCAAAATTCATGCTCGGTTAAGAGAGTGCATCGAGCACTGCTTCCAATGTATGGGCAATTTGGTCGGCCTACTGAGGGAGCTATTCGGTAGCTTGTGAACCCAGTTTACATTGTTGGACATTAAACCACCAACACGCAAACGTAGAGTGAGGACTGAAGAAAATATTGCGGCTGTATCCGCCAGTGTTAGTGATGACCGTGAAATGTCGATTCGCCGCCGTTCGCAGCAATTGGGCCTCTGTTACTCCACTACGTGGAAAATTTTGCGACAGGATTTGGGTGTAAAACCTTATAAGATACAGCTGGTGCAAGAATTGAAGCCACACGACCTTCCACAACGTTTCCAATTTGGTGAATGGGCGCTGGCAAAGTGGAGGAAGATCCACATTTTTATCGAAAAATTGTGTTCAGCGACGAAGCTCATTTCTGGTTGAATGGGTACGTTAACAAGCAAAATTGCCGCATCTGGAGTGAAGACCAGCCATAAGCATTGCAAGAGCTACCGATGCATCCCGAAAAAATCACAGTTTGGTGTGGATTATGGGCCGGTGGCATCATCGAGCCGTACTTGTTCAAAGACGACAATGGCCGGAACGTAACTGTGAATGTCGAGCGCTACCGTGCGATGATAACAAACTTTTTTTTGCCCAAAATGGAAGAGCTGGACTTGGCTGACATGTGGTTTCAACAAGACGGTGCCACATGCCACACCATACACGAAACAATGGCCCTAATGAGAGGCGAGTTCGGTGAACAGTTTATCTCGCGTTTGGGGCCCGTCAATTGGCCGCCTAGATCGTGTGATTTAACGCCGTTGGACCGTTTCTTGTGGGGCCATGTTAAGGCTACTATCTACAGGCATAAACCAGCAACGATTGACGCACTGGAAGCCAATATTGAAGCATTTATTCGTGAGATACCGGCCGATATGTTGGAGAGAGTGTGCCAAAATTGGACCTTGCGCATGGCCCATCTAAAGCGGAGCCGCGGCCAACATTTACATGAAATAATCTTTAAACATTAAATTATATCGACCGTTCTATCGACTCAAATAAAGATTCAATCGTTTTTTTCAAATTTTTTGTGTTTTTTTTGAAAATCAAATCCTATACCTCTTAAAAAATCACCCGTTATATGTTGTCCCAAGGTTCCGACTCAATGTCAGTCTGAAACAGAGCTAGATTTATTGGATGTAAAGCCCTAAATGTATAACAAAGATTAAGCGGCTCGATAGCTGTTATACGCAAATCTACATAAACAAGAAGGTGATCTGAAACATTGGGATCCCGAACGCCCACATCCTTCACTATGGGCACTATAGTGCTTCCCCGTATGATGTTTCGTTGTTGGTCACGACTTGTGAATCACCCTGTACACAAATTAGAGGTAATAGAGGTGTTCCAAGTAGATGAACTACTCACATACAATTGCTTTGGTTGATTTTTAAATCTTAGCGCATACAGCGTTAGGTTTGGAAACTACCCGACCTAACCTAATCGATGAAAAAATTGTCAGGGAAGTCAATCTACTTGTCGCAATTTTTTGTAGGTTCTCCTTTTGGAAGCTGGTCCAGACGAAACGGAAATAACTGACGTGCCATCCTTAGCAGCTTATCTACAACTGTCTCGTATGGACTGGGCTTACAAAACTATGTATACGGGACGAGCGTGTTTGGGGATGAAGAACGGCCAATGCAACTGGCCTAGAGGCAAAGTGCTCGGCGGTTCTAGCGTACTCAACTACATGCTTTACGTGAGAGGAAATAAACACGACTATGATCTGTGGGAAAGTCTAGGTAAATAGCGTGTAATGCGAGGACTGTAAATTAGGAGATGAGACTGATTTTTTCATTAATTTTGTTATCTGAATATAATTACAATTTAATATTGTTAGCCTTAAAATACCTTCCTTCTGAAGACACACACACTAGAAGAAAACTCTTTAAAAAAAATCACTACTCGAGTGAGTTCAAACTTGTACTGAAGGTGGACCACATGTTCCCCTGTCTCCCCTCTAAAACCGGCGCCTCCAGTATTGCCAGATCTAACGCTACGTTGCCAGCCTCATCACCTAAATTACAGACCTTGTAACAACCGACATTTTTAATTCGATCACTATGGAATCTGTTCATGGAACAATTTCGAGACAGAAGCTTTCATTGAAATTAAAATATGATTCACTGTTCTTTCTATCGAAATACATATTTAAAACTTCGTTCACCAACAAATATTAGTTCCTGAAAGTCTAAACCTTATAAATTATATTTAAATATTTAGAAATGGACAAAAGTATATAGACAAATTAATATTGTGCTGTATTTATTTTTTAACTTGTTTTGTTAATACACCAACCTGTAAACATAATTCGTTATAGCATAATACTCACTTAGACATAAATAAATTCATTAGACTCCCTTCAATAAAAAATTAATTGAAAAAAACTGGAACTATGAAAGACAAAAATATATAGACAAGAAAAACAATTACAGAATAAAGAAGCAAAGATCATTGAATTATAGAAAACCAACCATGTTTGTGTTAATATTTTGTAGCATAAGCATTATTATCAATCACCGCCTGGTATCGTCTCGGCATAGATTGTAGAAGTTTCTTGATATAAGTTTCATCAATCTGTCTCCACTTTTGCTCTAAAGTGGCAAAAAGTTCATCCTTGTTTCAATAATGTTTATCTCGTATTTGCTTTATCTAAGTATTCCCATAGATTTTCAATGGGGTTTATATCGGGAGACTGTGAAGGCCATTTGAGAACTGGTATTTTTTCATCCAGAAAGAATTTCTTAGCGAGATTTGAAGTGTGCTTCGGGTCATTAGCTTGCTGGAAGATTGACCTTAAGGGCATATTGTCTTCCATATAGGGTAACATGATATGCTTTAGTATGTCTGTGTATACAAACTTATCCATAATGCCATCTACTCTATGAAAAGGTCCCATCCCAAACCCCGAAGAGCACCCCCATACCATAACAGACACGCCTCCATGTTTGACAGTGGGCAAAGTGTACTTGGGGTTCAATAATTTCTGGACCACGCAGAATGGTCTTAAAATCACTCAACTTATTCCACAATACTTGATGAACACATACTAATCCTCTTCTGACACGAAACTGTACTAAACTAATGCTGAAAAGAATTTGTCTACATATTTTTGTCCCTCATAAAAAAGGCTTATATTCAGACTTATATTGTGTTCATAACAGATAATGTAAAAACAAGGAATTTAGTTTTTCTACTAATAACGCATTTTTTTATGGAGCAATGAAGTATGAATTCGTTTTCTAAAGGTATTTAGGTAAATATTCATATTTGTATATATACTTTTGTCCATTACATGTATTTCTGGATGAAAATAAGATTCATTCTATGTTTTATCGAACACAAATTTAAAGCTTCGCAATTTAACAACATTAAAACACCAACAAATACCAATTCCTAAAAGCTTAAGGTCACATGTCCCTTTTTTAACTGCATGTTTAAATCAGTATTCTTAATCTTTTTCCTCTGATTATTTCATGATGTAATAAAGATGACCAGAAACAAATGTTATTATTTTTTTTTAAATACTTTTTTGTGCATTTTATTGTAATCGTAACTTGTTAACAAATATTAGTACAGCTTTGCAAGTGTATGTTAAAATTCCAATTTCACAGTATAATTGAATAGGTGATTATTTATTTATTATCATCACTTTTTCTCTTCGAAAAATCTAAAATTATCTCAAAACTTCACTTTTCAACAAATTGAGCTTTCAACAAAACCAAAGATTTTTTGAAGAGAGAAAGTGATAAGAAAAAAAATCAGCCGCTCAAGTCTGCCATAAAAGTGGAATATTCACATACAAAGAGCTGTACTATTATTTGTTAACAACGGCTTCGATAGCATCATGTTTGGTTTATTAAATGGCAAAGAGCCAGAATCGTCAGCCATCTAGCGGTCTCATGGACAATGTACTATTAAACGTGAACCGAAATAAGTTCCAATAAATAGCAGCTCCCGGCAGATTCTGGTGATAGATAACGCTTTGCGATGTCTTATTATAATAACACTGATCAATAGCCAAAAAATATCCTAAATAAAATCAACAAAATATTACTATTTTAATGTGCTCAAACCGGAATGAAACTTATTTTTTCAATATTAGTTCAGGTTTTAGAGATACGGTAATTATATGTGTTCCTGCTGTGACAGTGTTAATATACTGTAATTCACAAGAATGCACGTGCTACATTTTTATATTCGGCAAGGAAAGACGATGTAATAAAATAAATATTGTTTTATATTAGCCATTTTTTCCTCAGTGGGCTGACAACGTCCATGCAAGATGTCTCGAAAGTGTGTAAACAATCCAGATCAGTTTTGTTACGTGTGTGGTGATGTAACTTTTGCGTCTCAGAGACGGTCTATTACTCCACTAATAACAAAGGCATATCAGCTTTATTTCGGTTGTAAACTAGGTGATCAAGACAAACAGTGGGCACCCCACATCTGCAGTAATACATGTGCTTCAAGTCTGAGGAGCTGGTTAAATGGCAAAAAACGGTCTATGCGCTTTGCTGTCCCAATGGTTTGGAGAGAGCCTACAAATCATATTAATGATTGTTACTTTTGCATGGTACCTTGTGTTGGACAAGCCACAGGTATGTCCAAGAAAAAAAATCGGTTATTAACTACCCAAACATACCATCTGCGATGAGACCTATGCCTCACAGTGACGAAAATCCTATTCCAAAACCCCCAGAATCCTACACTTGCGAATCAGAAAACGAATCAGATCATGGCGATCGAGTGATTCGTCAAGAAGAAGATATGCCATCAACGTCAAGAGATCCTGATTTTATACCGAGCACGTCATGCCACCAACGGCACAAAATAACACAGTCAGAATTAAATGATCTTGTAAGAGATTTAGAACTTCAAAATGTAAGGCAGAGTTACTTGGATCAAGACTGTAGCAGTGGAACTTGTTAGAAGACGATGTTTCGGTATGTGTTTTTCGTAAACGCCACAAGGACTTAGAACCATTTTTCAGTATGGAGAGTAACTTGGTTTTCTGCAGTAACATTAACGGCTTACTGGCGGCTTTAAATATAAACTATAACCCAGAAGAATGGAGATTGTTTATAGACAGTTCAACATTGAGTTTAAAGGCAGTGTTATTGCATATTGGAAATATTTTACCATCTCTTCCTGTAGGGTATGCAGTTCACATGAAAGAATCATATGACAATATGAAGTACCTATTGACATGCATAAAATACGATGAGCACCAATGGCATATTTGTGGCGATTTGAAAGTGTTGCACTTTAACTTGGGCTGCAGCTAGGCTACACAAAGTTTTGCTGTTTTTTTGTGTGAATGGGACAGTCGGGCAAAGGCACTTCATTACACCAGACAAAACTGGCCTGATCGTCAATTCCTAGAGCCAGGTCAAAAAAATGTACAGCATATGCCATTAGTAGATTCGAAAAAAATTTTATTACCACCACTGCATATTATGTTGGGCCTAATGAAAAACTTTGTCAAGGCATTAGATAGAGATGGGTCAGCTTTTCAATACCTGCGTCAGAAATTTCCAAGACTAAGTGAGGCAAAGGTTAAAGAAGGTATTTTTGTTGGGCCACAGATTCGAAATATTTTGAAAGATACACAGTTTGAAAATACTTCAACAGGTATTGAAAAAACTGCTTGGAATGATTTCCGTCTGGTGGTCACTAATTTCTTGGGAAATAGAAAAGCTGACAACTATAAAACCCTTGTCAAAAATATGCTGTCATCGTATCAAAAGATGGGCTGTAATATGTCTCTTAAGATACATTTGCTACACTCACACCTGGACTTTTTTCCTGATAATTGCGGAGCCGTAAGTGATGAGCACGGCGAACGTTTTCATCAGGATATTTCAACAATGGAAAAAAGGTACCAGGGAAAGTGGAATCCTTCCATGCTTGCAGACTGCTGTTGGACTCTTGGTAGAGATGCTCCAGAAACGATCCATAAAAGAACAGCAAAAAGACAGCGCATATAGTGATTCTTATAAGTATATGAATCTTGTTACTTTTTTTAATATATCCTTAAAAATAAAAAGTTTTTTTTCTAAACCGCAACTAACTTTTTTATTTCATTGTCATTTTTGGATTCAGCGCCCCAAAATTAACAAAGAAGTGCACTTTTCCCACAAGATACAATTAAAAAACTAAAATTTGTTGTCCAGTGTAATGATACTTGCCGGTGGAAACATCTACCTTCATTCGGCTTGTGCCGCTCTTTGCAAATTATGCAAGAGGTATCATTTCCCGAAATCGTGTAACACCACAATTATCTGCAAACACTCGCACTTTCAAAAAATAACACTTAAAATACGAAGCTGCTAAAAAATTAACTTGTAATATGAACCTCCATCCCGACTAAATACTGAGATTTTGGAGACAAACAAATCGTAGGCTTGCTTTTTCTATCGAGTCTGAATTCGTTGGTATTTTGCTGCTCTCTTCCATTTCGGTACCAGACTATAGTTATATTTACATAATCATACCGACCTATCGAGTCAACACGCATCTGACAAAATAAAAAGCGTTTTATGTTAAAAAAAACTGTAGGTAATCCAGGCTGGAACTACTCGACTGTCCTGAAATATTTCATAAAATCGGAAGACAACAGGAACCCGTACCTGGCTCGGACGCCTTACCACGGCACTGGCGGACTGCTGACAGTCCAGGAATCTCCTTGGCGCACGCCGCTGGTCGTCGCATTCTTGGAGGCAGGGGCAGAAATGGGATATCCAATAAGGGACATCAACGGCGCCGACCAGGCGGGATTCATGATAGCGCAGGGGACTATCAGAAGGGGTAAGTACAGGGTTGCAATGTTGGGCGATTTTCCCCCAATGTGGGGTATTCATTCCACCCTTAGGAAATTCTGTTATTTTTGGGGAATTTGTTACAATCTCCTTCCACAACAACTGAAAGTCGTTTACTCCATATACTCATTTAAAAGAAAAGTGAACGACTGGATACTATCTACACCCAGAAAGCGAGTTCAGGAATCTATTGATATAAAACTGACCCTAATGATTCTAACGATATATACTAAGTGACATATAAATCCGAACACCCAGTTTAAATGGTTTTATTTTAATAAAAGTTGGTGAATGTATTTATCCTACTGTAAATAACAAGTGAAAAAATTTTCAGCCTTATCAGTTGGACAATCCGGTTTTTATACTGCTTTTTTTTTAATTCACTAACGCTCTAAAAATGAATATTTCAGCCGCAGTAAAGAATCAACGTTGGCGGATTTTGGTTCTTGACATCCTTTACGATCGGTTACGATGCCTAGAGTACGGAGACCTGTACGATTTCGTCAACTTAGTGAGTTTGATAGGGGCCGTATAGTGGGACTTCGGGAAGCTTTTCGGGCAATTGCAGTTAGAGTGCAAAGAAGTGTAGACACTGTGGCTAGGTGTTGTCAGGCATGGCTTCGAGAAAGCCGTACGCAAAGAGCAAGGGGCACTGGACGCCGCCGTAGAAAAACAGACCGTGAAGATCGCCGCGTAAGATTATTGGCCTTAAGGGACCGTTTCTCCACTACCAGGTCCATTGCAAATGAATGGTTTGCAGAACACGGAAGACCTATTGGCATGCGAAGTTCTTACCGACGAATGAGAAGTTTTGGCTTGTTTTTATACCGGCCACACTGGGTCCTCCCTTTAACCCGAGAACACCGACGTAATCGCCTTGAGTGGTGCAGACAACGGTCACTCTGGGATCAGGAATGGAACAGTATTGTCTCGATGTTTAGGCATGCACGATGGTCGTGCCAGGGTTAGAAGGCGACGTGATGAAAGGAGGAATCCACAGTTTTTTGTTGAACGACATGTTCATCACACTGTTGGAGTTATGGTTTGGGGTGCTATAGCTTATGGTTCCAGGTCACCTTTAATCTTCATCAGAGGTAACATGAACGCGCAGCGTTATATCCACGAAGTTCTAGAACCCCATCTTTTACCCTATCTTGACATCCTGGCAGATCCAACTTTCCAACAAGATAATGCTCGACCACCTGTTGCAAGAGTCACAATAGACTTCTTTCAACATAATGATGTCACATTGTTACCATGGCCACCAAGATCTCCCGACTTATCCCCAATTGAGCACGTGTGGGATATGATGGGTAGGAGATTGCTCAATTTACAACGTCCTCCTCAGACTCTAGAAGCACTTCGAGAGGAGTTGGTGGTTGCCTGGAATGAGATACCACAGGAGGACATTCACCACCTGATCAGAAGCATGCCTAGGTGCGTTGGAGAATGCGTAGCACATCAGGGTGCATCCACACATTATTAAAGGTCAAAGGGCTTTAAAGCAGTGCAATCATTTTGAAATTTTTATCATTTACTTATTATGCTTCATTAAGTACTTATACAAAATTTTATTAAAATAAAACCATTTAAACTGGGTGTTCGGATTTATATGTCACTTAGTATACTTATACTATAACTACTATAATGCTCTATTAAACGGAGAAAGTAGACTCAATATGTACAATATGAAATTATTCCTACTCTTACTGTGACAGGTTTTTTTATACTCGAACCACCGCAAAGGCCTAAGGCCTAGGCACCCATAGGTACCGTGGGGCTAGAAGGGGATACAGAGGAAAGAGGGGACGCCACACAGAATCTGCGAGTCAAAACGTGTGCATGCAACATGCAAACACTCCGCGTTCGTCAGTCAGAAACCGTCTACCACCTACTACAATTTTGAGCACAGGAAAATGATTAACAATAGTAATTTACCTAAATTTGCAAATTTTGGAGCTGTCTAGGGCTTCAAGTGTGTTCAACAATAAGGCGGCGACGTTTTGAGTACACTCGCGGCGTATCAATAGGATCTTGAAGATGCTCATATCAAATCGTTACGTTGTTGTTCAAGGAATGCGCGATTTTGGGATTTGTTCATAAACTAGGTTAACATAGAGACGCCTGATTTGGATACTGTCTCAAATAGTCAGTACCATCATACGTTTTAACCTAACAGGGGATTGTGACAGGATTGTAAATTTTGCTTAAAAAACATTCTTATTATTGCCTGATCTACACTCTTTGTAAAGGAAAATGTCAACTTTGTGGACACGCTTTATATACAAGTTTCTTTCTAGGTTCAAGATGTTCGACAGCCAAGGCATTCCTACGACCTGTCAAACAGAGGCATAACCTGGATGTAGCTCTCAACGCGCACGTAACAAGAATTTTAATCAATCCATCTACGAAAAGGGCTTTTGGAGTGGAATTTGTTAGGAGAGGTAAACATACACCGCAAATATTGATAAGCTGTTATATCTAGATCTTACTTCATATGTCTCAGAAGAGGTGGACGCTCATTCGTAGTTTCACATTTCCTCGGCAAAGAATTGTCGGTGAATGTGAATCCGCCAGTTACTTTCAAAAAAATCTCAGCTCTGTGTATTTTACTCCGTTTATATAAAAAATCCTAGGGTATTTTCAGTTTCATACACCCTGGAGCAACATTGGGTTTGTAGTGTTTTTCCGATCATTTGGTCAAATCAATTTACAAAAATTTTGTTCTAGTGATATATTTCTTAGGTGAAGATATCTTAGGATGCATGAAAGCAAAAAGATGTGTGAAAAGCTATAAAATGTTTAATATACAGGGTGGCGCATCGAAAACGAAACAGGCGCATTTACTGGCAGCTCAGTTTTTTTTGAAAAATGCTCAGACCCGTCGATTTTGTTTTCGAGGGGGACACAAGTTTGGAAAAAAAACACGTTAACACGTACAGCCCCCTGGGCGGGGGTGACACCACCCTTAAAATATTAAATGGAAAGGGGGGTCGAGAGATACCTTATTTTACAGGTCTTTCAATTCCCTTTATAATGATATAAAATTAATGTACTACAGTTCAGTAGTTTTGAAGATTTATTGATTTAAAGCTTAAATAAAACTAATACATCACCATTAGTGAAGATCAATACATTTGGCAGCAAAGTAATTTAAAAATGAAGAATAAACTGACCCGTTAGGCAAGTAAATGTTGAAAATGGCCACCATGACTATCCTTGCAATAATAAAGATTTTGCTCAAAACGTTGCCTCACATTTTGCAATATTTGAGGAGTAATTTGAAGGCACTCATTCACAATTCTTTGTCGCAGGTCTTCTAATGATGTTGGCTGAGTAGCATAGATTTTGCTTTTTAAATGACCCCACATAAAGAAATCAGAAGATGATAAATCTGGCGATCTTGGGGGCCATTCAATGGCACCTCTTCTACCAATCCATCAATTTGGAAAAGTCTGATCTAAATATTTACTTATTACTTATTACGTAAATTCTTATAGTCAAATTTCTTCTGAAAGTAGTACAACTAATCTGATGTACCTATTAAAGTCCACTTTAAGCTTTAAATCAATAAATCTTCAAAACTACTGAACTGAAGCTCATGTATTTTACATCATTATAAAGAGAATTGAAAGACCGTTAAAATAAGGTATCACTCGACCCCCCTTTCCATTTAAGATTTTAGGGTTGGTGTCACCCCCGCCCAGGGGGCGGTACGTGTTAACGTGATTTTTCGCCAAACTTGTGTCCCCCTCGAAAACAAAATCGACGAGACTGAGCGTTTTTCCAAAAAAAAAACTAAGCTGCCAGTAAATGCGTCTGTTTCGTTTCGATGCGCCACCCTGTATACTGGGGTTCCGTTATCGCGAGGATAAGATTCTGACGTTGATGTAAGTATATGATAAAAACGTGACAAACGTAGTTTCACGCTACAGATACTGTAATACTCGTAAATTGTGCTTTCAGAAGCCGGATGCAGGAGATAGTATTGGAAGGGAAATAGATATAAGGAACGAAAGTGAACAAGTGGAATGTATTTTTTTTTATTTCGTAAAATGATAAAGTCAAAATTAACTTAATCGTAATAAATTCTATGTGCCTGAAAAAAATTTTGAAACCCTATTTTGTGACAACCATCGTATATCTGGAATAAGTACTTTGAGGTTCTGCGAACAACAAGCCGGTGTTTCAGAAAAAAATATAGAAACTAAAAAAAGTTATGACGGAATCACATTTTAAGGGAAAATCCTCTTGACATCACAAGTCAGGTTGGATAACTTTATTAAAGTTGCAACAAAACTTTTTGTGTATGTTCAAGAAACTATAAAGTTCTGATATAAGTGATTCACATAACAGGTTAAAGAGGAGAAACATATCTTTAAAAACATTCAGGGTGTAAACGTTATGATAATCATTATTTAAATGGGTGATAGAGGGCGTTAAATGAAGCAAAAAGTGAAATAAAATCTGACAACGCCGCAATGCCAGACGTAAATTAGGGGAACGCGGTGTAAATAAAGATGGAGTTTGTTATTTTTAGCTCTTAGGTATTATTTCATTAATTGATAATGTATACTTTATCTGAAGTCACTTGAAACACTGTGAAATACCGGGTGCGTTTTATATATCTATATTTAACACGCTCTGTTGCTGCAAAAATCACCAAATTTCGCAGCAAATATCCCCCGTATCAGATCAAAGGCAGTTTCACCGGTCCACGTGGAGTAAAGCACGCCTATGCGTGGACATAGCCAATGAGAAAGCGTGTATTTCAGAGCTCCGAACCAGTGCAGGTGGCTACTGAAAATTGAAACAGTTTAGCCAGTGAAGTGTAGCGGTGAATAAGCGTGTTTTCTTTAGTCTGTCCGTGTTTGTTCATAGATTTTATTAGTTTGTATGTTTTGACTTTTGAATACTCAGTTTACTTGTTGATTTAATTGTTGTGTTGATTGTTCTTGTGTGTCCTAAATATGGCTCTTTGGAGACCTTGGGGAAATGCTCAAAGACACGAGGAGATGGTTGATGAACCTGTGCAGGCAGAATTCTTTCATAAAGATTTATAGGAACAGACCCAAAGAGTAATCCTAAATATGTATGATTGTCTGAAAAACGAAAATCCAGATTCCTCGCAAAATCAAATTTTAAACAGAATTTGTATCCTGACAAAATCAGTCGGTCTACCATTTATCGGGTTATAAAAAGGGGAGATGTAGTCAACCATTCCTTCCACAGAAAGCGCATAGGGCAAAAATTAAAAAGAATAGACGTGGGTTTTCAGGAAGATATTCGTCGTATAATATACGGATTTTATAAAGAAAATTTGGTGCCCACGTTGGAAATGATATGGGATAAATTAAAAGATTATCCTGAAGATTTTTATAATTACAAATGCTTAGACTCACTGCACTGTATTGTAAAACTGTGTGGTTTTCAAAACAAAAAATTATATAAAAGAATGGTGATTATGGAGTCGTCTCGAATCGTTGAATTGCGCCAAGAATTTTTGCACAAAGTTAAAATCTATAGAGAGCAGAAAAGAAATCTGATTTACCTGGATGAAACGTGGTATGATACCCATGATGTTGTGCAGTACGGCTGGGTTGACGACAGCAACAAGTGCATTTTAAATGCACCATGCAACCGTGGAAAACGAATCATTATTCTCCATGCTGGCAGTGAAAATGGATTTATACCTAATGCCTTGCTGTTATCTGCCAAAAATATCAAAGAATCATGTGCCGACTATCATGAGGACATGACCTCCGACTTATTTGAAAAGTGGATAGAGCAGCAGTTAATACCAAACATTTCCCCAAATTCAGTGATTATTATGGACAATGCGCCATACCATTCCCGACAGAAAAACAAAATTCCGAATACAGGCACAAAAAAACAAGACATTATTGATTAGGGAATGGAAATACCACAAAAATCAACCAAAGCCATATTATTGGATCTTATTAAAAGACAAAAATTTGAAAAAGAGTATGTTGTTGACAATCTGCTTCAGCAAAATGGCCATGAAGTATTACGTCTACCTCCCTATTACTGCATTTTTAACCCGATTGAGTTGGTCTGGGCTGCTTTAAAAAAAAAAGTAAGAAAACATAATCAGACCCCTCAATTAAGTGAATCGCTATTGGCCACAATAAGAGATGCAGTATCTCATATTGCTGCCACAGACCTATGTAAGCAGTGTTCTAGGCATATTATTGAAAAAGAAAATGAATATTGTGTTTTGCCTCCTGTAAATCCCGTTGTAATTCCTCAATTCCTCTACAAGATGACCCTAGCGACAGCTCCGAAGGCGAGGATGATATATAAATACCTATAATGTAAGTCTTTATATACCTTTTTATATACCTACCTGCTATGTAATATTTGCCTATGTCAAACGTTGGAATTCTGTAATTTTTCCATTTCTTAACTTTCAGTCAACATAAATTAAACTCCCAATATAAGTATTTTTTTTTCCACTTATGAATAGTAAACACAATTTTGATACATACATTGTTTTTCATTTTAAAACGCACACTGCACTTTTTGTATTCAAAGAAGGTGTACAAAATGTTGTCCTACACTTTCCACACAAGCTTCATTACGACGAAACCAGTTTCTTTTTACTCTAGGTCCTCGAAGTTGTCCATTTATTATTTCAGCCCCACTAAAAAATGTTTCGCGAAGTTGTGCTTCAGTTGTTATTGGACCATCCCTTTAATACCAGAAATCCATCGGATTGAGGTCAGGAGACCTTGCTGGCCATTTTCGAGGATCAGGAGCATTTCGACCGATCCAGCGATTTGGATAATGTTCATTCAAATACTAAACGACGCCTCTAAAAATATGTGGTGGTGCCTCGGCATGAAGAAACCACAAATTCTGTCTCCGTTGTAATGGCACGTTGTCTAAGATCTGTTCCAGTTCTGGTAGGTTATTGGCTAGAAAGCTAAGGTATCCTTCTCCTGACAACTTTGGGGGTAACTTGAAAGGGCCAATTACCTGATCGTCAAGAATACCCGCCCAAATATTTATTTTAAAACGTTGTTGGAAATGACCTTCACGAATGGTATGAGGATTTTTTTTGGGCCTACGTGTGAGTATTATGGAAATTTAATATCCCATCTCGCGTAAAAGTACATTCGTCCGTCGCTAGAATGTTTTTAAATACGGATTTCTAATATTTTTGTGCAAAAACCACTGACAGAATCTTAGTCTGCGAGGATAGTCTTCTGGTAACAAGGTACATGGTATTGATAAAGCAAATTTTCCCGTAGGATTCTATGGACTATGGTATGCGATAGTCCTACGCGGCGGCCTAATTCCCGAGTGCTGATATCTGCATTGATTTACACGATATTTAAAATTTGTTCCTCCTGCTCTACAGTAACCTATCTTTCACGAGTGCGAATATTAGTGGGCTGAACACTTCCTGTATGTCGAAGTCTTTGGTTGCACAAATGTCCTTCTGTCTGGGTGTACCCGTTGCGAAATCTGCCGCGATAAATTTGAGCTGGAAGATTTGAAACTAAACATGTCGGCGAACTCTTGATTCGAGAACATTGTAAATAGACACGACGACGTAAGCGAACAAGAACAAAACAACACGCCCGACGCTTTGCTCGACAAAACGATAAAATAATTTATCTATGCAAAACGATAACTAACCACTATTATCGTTTGCGATAGATTGCCGGTTCGATAAGAGTGATGAAAGACCGACGCGCTGTTGTCATGTGTGTTTTAAATATTTAATTCAATGAAACTTACTTACTGACTACAGATTTTGGCTTAACTTAGAAAAACTTAATGCCACTTAGAGTTGTAAACTGTAAAGCCGTTTAGACAAAAATCTATTGACTTTTGGACCATGGGTCATATGAACTTTTTGACTTGTTTAGCAGTTCTTTTTTTATCACTGTTTTTTTCTGAGAGCGGTCTAGCCCCGTAAGCACCGCAGAAAATTTTAAAAGCTGTAACAACTCAACGTAATGTTTAATAAAATCATAATTTGTTTATATCACTAGATGGCCTTTTGTTTGCCTCAAGAATTTAATTCCACAGTAAAATCCTTCAAAAGATGTTTTCCAAAGCCGCGTCTATTCTTAATAAGCTTGTGAACAAGAAGCATTTTTAGCAACGATAAATTCCGTTCTAGGCAGAAAACAAATCGTTACGGCAAAAAAAGAAGTCGTCATGTCAGCCGGTTCAATCAACACCCCCCAAATCCTCATGCTATCTGGCGTTGGCCCTAGAGAGGAACTCGACAAGCACGGTATCCCGGTATTGGCAGACTTGAAAGTCGGCGAGAACCTCCAGGACCACGTCGCTATGGGAGGACTAACGTTTAGGATCAACAAGCCCGTTTCGATAGTGCAGGACCGGTTTCAGGCATTCCCGATGACGATGCAGTATGTCATGCATAGAAAAGGACCAATGACGACACTTGGCGGAGTTGAAGGATTAGCTTTCGTCAACACCTATCTAGGTAAGAAGTAATTCACATCACTTTGGTGATACAGTGTGACTCATAAAGCAGGGCCACGATTAACTATTTTGTATAGGATGAATTTTTTCAATAAATAATAATAATCAGTTTATTTCAATCAATCAAATACATGGCATAGGAAACGTCGATGCAGGCTCATAGTGACTAAGTGACATTTAAAATGCAATACGCAGAATTACTTATTGAATTTGTGTCATTTAATATACAGGGTGGCGCATCGAAAACGAAACAGACGCATTTACTGGCAGCTTATTTTTTTTGGAAAAACGCTCAGACCCGTCGATTTTGTTTTCGAGGGGGATACACGTTTGGCAAAACTCACGTTAACACGTGCAGCCCCCTGGGCGGGGGTGACACCAACCCTAAAATCTTAAATGGAAAGGGGGGTCGAGTGATACCTTATTTTAAAGGTCTTTAAATTCCCTTTATAATGATATACGCAACATAAATTAACCATGGTATATTCCACAGCAGAAAGAGTTGAAATTATAGAAATATTTTTCGGAAATAACACTGGACAACAAATTTTAGTTTTTTAATTGTATCTTGTGGGAAAAGTGCACTTCTTTGTTAATTTTGGGGCGCTGAATCCAAAATGACAATGAAATAAAAAAATTAGTTGCGGTTTAGAAAAAAAACTTTTTATTTTTAAGGATATATTAAAAAAGTAACAAGATTCATATACTTATAAGAATCACTATATGCGCTGTCTTTTTGCTGTTCTTTTATGGATCGTTTCTGGAGCATCTCTACCAAGAGTCCAACAGTAATCTGCAAGCATGGAAGGATTCCACTTTCCCTGGTACCTTTTTTCCATTGTTGAAATATCCTGATGAAAACGTTCGCCGTGCTCATCACTTACGGCTCCGCAATTGTCAGGAAAAAAGTCCAGGTGTGAGTGTAGGAAATGTATCTTAAGAGACATATTACAGCCCATCTTTTGATACGATGACAGCATATTTTTGACAAGGGTTTTATAGTTGTCAGCTTTTCTATTTCCCAAGAAATTAGTGACCACCAGACGGAAATCATTCCAAGCAGTTTTTTCAATACCTGTTAAAGTGTTTTCAAACTGTGTATCTTTCAAATATTTCGAATATGTGGCCCAACAAAATACCTTCTTTAACCTTTGCCTCACTTAGTCTTGGAAATTTCTGACGCAGGTATTGAAAAGCTGACCCATCTCTATCTAATGCCTTGACAAAGTTTTTCCTTAGGCCCAACTTGATATGCAGTGGTGGTAATAAAATTTTTTTCGAATCTACTAATTGCATATGCTGTACATTTTTTTGACCTGGCTCTAGGAAATGACGAACAGGCCAGTTTTGTCTGGTGTAATGAAGTGCCTTTGCCCGACTGTCCCATTCACACAAAATCGACGGGTCTGAGCGCTCTTCAAAAAAAAAACTGAGCTGCCAGTAAATGCGTCTGTTTCGTTTTCGATGCGCCACCCTGTATACTCTTTGGCAATTTATCTATTTATATTAATGTTCACGGAAGGGTTGAAAAATGTTTAATACCCTCTCTTTGTAATTGTTCCTTGATAAACGTTTATTTATTATTATCATTATTTGTACAAATATTATAGAGGGTTCAAGGATTAGCGGACAAAAAGAAAACACAGGTAGACCACCTGTAATGAATGACATGATTTTTCGTGATGTAACATCCAAAAAACAATATTTTGTTTTCGAAATTTTTTCGATTTCAATACTTCCTAGCCAATTGAGTAGGACGTAAAAATATTTTTTTTTTGTCATTACCAGTTGGCATTATCTCTGCTCATTGAACGTTGTGGAAAGAAGGTTTTATTTTTTGCTAAAGTTTCAAACATATCAACTCTAAAGCTTTTATATTTTACATTTATTAGAAGTCAGCTGGAATACTCTTCATTAATTTGGTCTCCAATCTACAACAATTCAAGGGTTAGTATTGAATATGTGCAGCGTAAGGCTTTAAAGTATTTGTATTACAAATGTTATGGCAATTATCCTGAAAGAGGTTTCGACCATTCTATTTTATTAAACATTTTTGATATCGAGTCACTGCATCTTGGACGCGACATATCAGCGCTACATATTTTGTACAAAATCATGCACAATCAAGTTGATTGTTCATTGATATTAAGTAAGCTTAATTTTCGTGTGCCTAGGTTGGGAAGTCGTGCTCAAATTACTTTCTATCCGGTTATTGGTAATATACTAAGTGACATATATCCGAACACCCAGTTTAAATGGTTTTATTTTAATAAAAGTTGGTGAATGTATTTATCTTACTGTAAATAACAAGTGAAAAAATTTTCAGCCTTATCAGTTGGACATTCCGGTTTTTATACTGCTTTTTTTTAATTCACTAACGCTCTAAAAATGAATATTTCAGCCGCAGTAAAGAATCAACGTTGGCGAATGTTGGTTCTTTACGATCGGTTACGATGGGACTTCGGGAAGCTGGACTTTCTTTTCAGGCAATTGCAGTTAGAGTACAAAGAAGTGTAGACACTGTGGTTAGGTGTTGTCAGGCATGGCTTCGAGAAGGCCGTACGCGAAGAGCAAGGGGCACTGGACGCCGCCGTAGAACAACAGACCGTGAAGATTGCCGCCTAAGATTATTGGCCTTAAGGGACCTTTTCTCCACTACCAGGTCCATTGCAAATGAATGGTTTGCAGAACACGGAAGACCTATTGGCATGCGAAGTGTTTACCGACGAATGAGAAGTTTTGGCTTGTTTTCATACCGGCCACACTGGGTCCTCCCTTTAACTCGAGAACACCGACGTAATCGCCTTGAGTGGTGCAGACAACGGTCACTCTAGAATCAGGAATGGAACAGTATTGTCTTAGTGACGAGTCTCGATTTTGTTTAGGCACGCACGATGGTCGTGCCAGGGTTAGAAGGCGACGTGGTGAAAGGAGGAATCCACAGTTTTTTGTTGAAAGACATGTTCATCACACTGTTGGAGTTATGGTTTGGGGTGCTATAGCTTATGGTTCCACCATTAATCTTCATCAGAGGTAACATGAACGCGCAGCGTTATATCAACGAAGTTCTAGAACCCCATCTTTTACCCTATCTTGACACCCTGGCAGATCCAACTTTCGAACAAGATAATGCCCGACGACATGTTGCAAGAGTGACAATAGACTTCTTTCAACATAATGATGTCACAATGTTACCATGGCCACCAAGATCTCCCGAATTATCCCCAATTGAGCACGTGTGGAATATGATGGGTAGGAGATTGCTCAATTTGCAACGTCCTCCTCAGACTCTAGAAGCACTTCGAGAGGAGTTGGTGGTTGCCTGGAATGAGATACCACAGGAGGACATTGACCACCTGATCAGAAGCATGCCTAGGCGCGTTGGAGAATGCGTAGCACATCAGGGTGCATCCACACTTCATTAAAGGTCAAAGGGCTTTAAAGCAGTGCAATCATTTTGAAATTTTTATCATTTACTCATTATGCTACATTAAGTACTTATACAAAATTTTATTAAAATAAAACCATTTAAACTGGGTGTTCGGATTTATATCTCACTTAGTATACTAATTTATTGTCTAGATCTCCGGTAAATATGATTTGTACATGTTTCAATTCTGTTTGCAGTTCCTGTCACTTATTTTTTGATAGTGAGAACCTTGTTGTGAAGTGCTACAGAGACTGGTACCTTTGTCAGTGAGAGTTTGTTTTTTCTTTTTTTAATTTTTTTTTGTGTTTGGCGTTACCGCTGTTGCTAATTCTGTAACTTTTTCTTGTATTTTTTCTGCAATTGGGTGTTACCTGTTGGGAATAAATAAATAAATAATTTTGCTTTGCCAGGCAATCGGTCTTGGCCGGATATCCAATTCCACATGGCCCCAGCCAGCATAAACAGCGACGCGGGAGCGAAAGTCCGTCACGTTCTGGGCCTGCGCGAGGACTTGTACGACATGGTGTACCGACCGATAGCGAATCAGGACGTGTGGACGTTGATGCCGCTGTTACTGAGGCCACGCAGCCGCGGATGGATACGGCTGAGGAACAAGAACCCGTTCTCACCGCCACTGATACACGCCAACTATTTTGATGACCCGCACGATATTAAGACACTTGTCGAAGGTAGGTAATACTCACGTTGTCCGCATTCAATGTTCGTGTCAGATATCAGAAATTGTTGAGGGAACTTTTGTTAAAATTATCTAAAAATATTCTAACATCATAAATAAGTATAAAAAAATTAATATTGCTATATGCAAACTTCTATCTCATGATGGCCCTATTCCATACACATATTAATAATAATATTTATTCGCTCAATTTACAAAGAAAACAACATGAGTAAATAAAAACATAATAATGTATCCACTTTTCCAAATTTCTTTTGTAATAATCTCGGAAAAATGTTGACGCCAATTAGAGATATGACGGCTACATTATATGGGGTTGTCCAAAACGAAAGATTGATATTCAAATCAAGTTGGGTACTTTATTTTGAAGGTTCATTTATACCATTTATGTATGAAAAATAATATCGCTCAATGTTCAATGTTCACCACGACTGGATTTACAGACGTCCACGCGATGGTCGAAATTTTCAATGACATTTTGCAACGTGGTCGGTTCTATGGCATTTATCTCGGCAACGATGTTGTTTTTTGAGTTCTTGGAGGGTGGCTGGCTTGTTGACGTAGACTTTGCTTTTCAAATATCCCCATAAAAAGAAGTCCAAGGGAGTCAAATCGCACGATCTTGGTGGCCATGGCACATTTCCTCTGCGCGAAATCACGCGATCACCGAAGAAGGACTGCAATTGATGGATATTGATGTTGGTTGTGTGGCATGTTGCACCGTCTTGTTGGAAATAAACATCGTCCATATCCATTCCTTCAAGTTGCGGCAAAAAATAGTCCTCTATCATCACGTGATATCGCTCAGAATTGACGGTATCGGCGTCCCCGGCCGCATTTTCGAAAAAGTAAGGTCCGATGATGCCTTTTGACCACAATGCACACCACACAGTCACTTTTTGAGGATGCATCGGCTGCTCTTGATACTCACGGGGATTTTCGTTCGCCCAGATGCGGCAGTTTTGCTTGTTTACCGTCCCATTCAAAGTGAAATGCACTTCGTCGCTGAACATGATTTTTGATGAAAAATTGGCATCAATTTGGCGGTGTTCAAGGAGCCAATCTGAGAACGTTCGGCGCGAAAAATGGTCGCAGTTCTTGCATCAATTGGATCTTGTAGGTGTGTACATTCAAATCCTTGTGGAGAATGCGGAGCAAACTGGTTGTCGAAATGCCCAATTCTTGGGATCGACGCGTTGTTGATTGTTTCGGAACGTCTCTCACACTCTCCTTCACAACAGCAATATTTTCCGGTGTGCGAACGCTCCTTGGCCGGCCAGAGCCTGGCAGATTTGCCACAGAACCTGTTGCCTCGAATTTACGCACCAGACGACCGATGGTTGTTTCGTTTGGGCGGTTGTTGCGACCGAAATGTTCACGATGCGCGCGAAACGTGTTTTTTATTTTTGCACCATTTTTGTAGTGCTCTTGAATAACTTTAATGCGGTCTTCAATCGAATACGACTCCATAGCGATCAATGTTAAACATTCAACTAACAAAATGACATGTCGGTGACAGAAAACAAAGATGGCGTCTATGTCAAATTGACGTTTACTTTCCTGCGTCCCTATTGGACAACCCTTTAGATTTATATGGCTGAGGAACTACTGTGCCGCGAATTTTGTACCTTGTGTTTAATTTTGAGTATTCATGAATTATTATTTTTCACTTTAAATATGTTTAAATTGGAACACTGTTTAATATCATTATTCAATATACTTAATTCAAATACTCGCTTTTGAAATGCAGATTTGGTAGTTATGCTACTATTACAATTATGCAGATGAAAATCTAGTTTCGTAGTTGAGATAATGACTATTTAATTTCGTGAAGTTTTCCGTACGTGGTGGTAATAAATGATTTTTTAATTTGAATATGAAAATGAGAACTAACATACAAAAATTTTTTACATTCAACCAATGTAGTTGTTCTAAAATAAGACTTAATCTTAGCCTATTTAGTTTTATTTAAAATGATTATCATAGCTTTAGCTTGTAGAACTTATATTTTTGAAAATATGTTTTCATTTGCTAAATGGTTGGACAATATAAAAAACGGGAAGAATTTAAGTATTATACACAATTTTTTCGTAATACATTCCGAGATTATGTAAAACTTTATAGAAGTAATTTATCTTTTTTGATACTTTTGAAATACTGCATTCATAATGATCTTAAAACAGTAATTTACTATCCACATATACAGGGTGGCCCATCCATGAAAGGACGGAATATTACTCATAAACAAATACATTTTGGGAAAATCTATTTAAGGGATATTATACATGACATTTGAGGGCACATTTCTACAATATTGGCCATTATACAGGGTGTCCCAATTTCGACCTACATATCAAAAGCTGCAATTTTTCAAATGGAATGACTCAAATTTTATTGCATATTTGGATAAAAAAAATTCAAAAGAAGAAAATTGATATAACATACTATGGGGTTTTGGTAATTAGTTGGTTAAGTTCTATGATTTAGGCAATCTTCGGTTTCGGTCAAAAAACTGACCTTCGCTAGAACGTTTACCACTAACGAGATCTTAAATACAGGGTCCAATGGGAAAGTTCACTTTTTGATTTAAAAAAATACAAACTTTTGAAAATCTCATCCAGTGGTCGTGGATTATACACTTTTGACTTTAGATAACGCCTCAAAAAATAATCACATGGCGTGAGGTCGGGTGACCTAGGAGGCCAATAAATGTCTCCAAACTTCCGATATATCCTTTGGAAGAAAAAGTGATTTCACCGCGTCCATCGATTCTCTGGAAGTGGCCCCATCCTGTTGAAACCATGTGTTTCTGTTAAATCGACCTTCTGTTCTTACAATCGGAGCAAAAAAAAGTGTCAATCATGTCATTGTATCGCTCGGCATTGACTGTCAATGGAAGACCGTTTTCATCTTCAAAGAAATACGGCCCAATAACACCGCTAGAGGTTATGGCGCACCAAACAGTCACTTTTGAGTATGCCGCTGTTGTTGATGTTTCTCTTTTGAGTTGGTTGCTGCCCAATATCTGCAATTTTGCTTGTTCACATAACCTTCTAAGTGAAAATGAGCCTCGTCCCTGAAAACAAAGTTCCAGAGTCTGCGCTGCGTAGGAAAAAGATTCAACTTCCGTTCATCACAAGATTCCGTAATACGTAACCACTTTCCTTTAAAGCATGGACTGATTGGATTTTATAAGGATGAAAGCCCATTTTTTCGTGCATTATGGAGAATTGACCTAGGGATTTCCAAAGCAGCGAAATTCTTCCGTACAGAACTCCGAGGATTTGCAATGACCGAATCATTTACCCGACGCACATTTTCTTCGGTTGATCCAGTTTCTTACTTGCGGCGAATGTTGTATCGTTTACAAATTTTCCAAAGGGCAGTTGCGTATGAATCACCACTCTTAAAGTAAGCCTGGTTGCGCTCCGGTCCAACGTTCCATTGCGACTATTTAACCCGCACGCCGAACGCGTCGATCAAGGCCTCTCCCCGCGTCCTCGCGTATTCGGTTGCCGCGTTAAAATGTAAACTTTCCCACTGTAGATATCATTTATTTCTCACCTAATCTAATCCTTTCATCGCAGGTGCCAAAATCGCGATCAACATCAGCGAATCGAGAGCGTTCAAGAGATTCGGCAGCCATCTACATCGGATCCCATTCCCGAACTGCAAACACCTACAATTCGCCAGCGACGCTTATTGGGAGTGCCACATACGTACCATCTCGATGACCATCTACCATCCGGTGGGTACTTGCAAAATGGGACCTGACTCAGATAACGATGCCGTAGTAGATCCAAGACTGAGGGTGTACGGTGTAGCGGGACTTAGGGTTATAGACGCCTCGATCATGCCGACTATACCAAGTGGGAATACCAATGCCCCAGCCATTATGGTAGGAGAGAAAGGTGCAGATTTGATTAAAGAAGATTGGCTGGATGGTTATAGAGGGTTTTAAAGTGAAATCGTTCGCATACAGATTGCAGATATTGATGCCAAGAAGATACCGATACTTCAGCAATAATGGAAGGATAGAAATGTGCACATTTAATCAAAGAAGATAGATTAGATGGCTACAGAGGATTTTGAAAGAAAATGGATCGCTCGCGGAGCAACTTGTAGTACCACATCCGTACTATATCCAATTGCACCTACCACCCTGTTGGAATTTACAAAATGGGACCAGATTCCGTCAAGGATGATGTAGTAGATCCAAGACTGAGGATTTACCGATTGCGATGCTCTATAGAAGGATACTGCTTTACCCAGAGCAATCTATCAAAGAAGATTAGTTGAATGGTTATAGAGGATTTTATGGGAAGATGGTTGGACTACGTTATTGACCAGTTACTATGGCTAAAGGAGGAAAGGACAGACCTTATCAAAGAAGGTCTGGTGGATTGCTGGAGGTGACCCTAAAGGAAAATGAGACTCTAGTAGAGCCTTATCTATACCATCTAAAAACTGGTGAATACTTGCAAAATGGGACCTGACTTGGATAACGATGTAACGTGATCGATCTAAGACTGAGGGTGTATGGTGTGGCGGGACTTAGGGTTATAGACGCGTCGATCATGCCGACCATACCAAGTGGGAATACCAATGCCCCAGCCATTATGGTTGGAGAGAAAGGTGCAGATTTGATTAAAGAAGATTGGCTGGATGGTTATAGAGGGTTTTAAAGTGAAATCTTTCGCATACAGATTGCAGATATTGATGCCAAGAAGATACCGATACTTCAGCAAGAATGGAAGGATAGAAATGTGCAGGTTTAATCAAAGATAGATTAGATGGCTACAGAGGATTTTGAAAGAAAATGGATCGCTCGCGGAGCAACTTGTAGTACCACATCCGTACTATATCCAATTGCACCTACCACCCTGTTGGAATTTACAAAATGGGACCAGATTCCGTCAAGGATGATGTAGTAGATCCAAGACTGAGGATTTACCGATTGCGATGCTCTATAGAAGGATACTGCTTTACCCAGAGCAATCTATCAAAGAAGATTAGTTGAATGGTTATAGAGGATTTTATGGGAAGATGGTTGGACTACGTTATTGACCAGTTACTATGGCTAAAGGAGGAAAGGACAGACCTTATCAAAGAAGGTCTGGTGGATTGCTGGAGGTGACCCTAAAGGAAAATGAGACTCTAGTAGTGCCCTATCTGTACCATCTACAAACTGGTGAATGCTTGCAAAATGGGACCTGACTTGGATAACGATGTAACGTGGTCGATCCAAGACTGAGGGTGTATGGTGTGGCGGGACTTAGAGTTATAGACGCTTCGATCATGCCAACCATACCAAGTGGGAATACCAATGCCCCAGCCATTATGGTTGGAGAGAAAGGTGCAGATTTGATTAAAGAAGATTGGCTGGATGGTTATAGAGGGTTTTAAAGTGAAATCTTTCGCATACAGATTGCAGATATTGATGCCAAGAAGATACCGATACTTCAGCAAGAATGGAAGGATAGAAATGTGCAGGTTTAATCAAAGATAGATTAGATGGCTACAGAGGATTTTGAAAGAAAATGGATCGCTCGCGGAGCAACTTGTAGTACCACATCCGTACTATATCCAATTGCACCTACCACCCTGTTGGAATTTACAAAATGGGACCAGATTCCGTCAAGGATGATGTAGTAGATCCAAGACTGAGGATTTACCGATTGCGATGCTCTATAGAAGGATACTGCTTTACCCAGAGCAATCTATCAAAGAAGATTAGTTGAATGGTTATAGAGGATTTTATGGGAAGATGGTTGGACTACGTTATTGACCAGTTACTATGGCTAAAGGAGGAAAGGACAGACCTTATCAAAGAAGGTCTGGTGGATTGCTGGAGGTGACCCTAAAGGAAAATGAGACTCCAGTAGTGCCCTATCTGTACCATCTACAAACTGGTGAATGCTTGCAAAATGGGACCTGACTTGGATAACGATGTAACGTGGTCGATCCAAGACTGAGGGTGTATGGTGTGGCGGGACTTAGAGTTATAGACGCTTCGATCATGCCAACCATACCAAGTGAGAATACCAATGCCCCAGCCATTATGGTAGGAGAGAAAGGAGCAGATTTGATTAAAGAAGATTGGCTGGACGGTTATAGAGGGTTTTAAAGTGAAATCGTTCGCATACAGATTGCAGATATTGATGCCAAGAAGATATCGATACTTCAGCAAGAATGGAAGGATAGAAATGTGCAGGTTTAATCAAAGAAGATAGATTAGATGGCTACAGAGGATTTTGAAAGAAAATGGATCGCTCGCGGAGCAACTTGTAGTACCACATCCGTACTATATCAAATTGCACCTACCACCATGTTGGAATTTACAAAATGGACCAGATTCCGTCAAGGATGATGTAGTAGATCCAAGACTGAGGATTTACCGATTGCGATGCTCTATAGAAGGATATTGCTTTACCCAGAGCAATCTATCAAAGAAGATTAATTGAATGGTTATAGAGGATTTTATGGGAAGATGGTTGGACTACGTTATTGACCAGTTACTATGGATAAAGGAGGAAAGGACGGACCTTATCAAAGAAGGTCTGGTGGATTGCTGGAGGTGACCCTAAAGGACAATGAGACTCTAGTAGTGCCCTATCTGTACCATCTAAAAACTGGTGAATGCTTGCAAAATGGGACCTGACTTGGATAACGATGTAACGTGGTCGATCCAAGACTGAGGGTGTATGGTGTGGCGGGACTTAGGGTTATAGACGCGTCGATCATGCCGACCATACCAAGTGGGAATACCAATGCCCCAGCCATTATGGTAGGAGAGAAAGGTGCAGATTTGATTAAAGAAGATTGGCTGGATGGTTATAGAGGGTTTTAAAGTGAAATCGTTCGCATACAGGTTGCAGATATTGATGCCAAGAAGATACCGATACTTCAGCAAGAATGGAAGGATAGAAATGTGCAGGTTCAATCAAAGAAGATAGATTAGATGGCTACAGAGGATTTTGAAAGAAAATAGATCGCTCGCGGAGCAACTTGTAGTACCACATCCGTACTATATCCAATTGCACCTACCACCCTGTTGGAATTTACAAAAAGGGACCAGATTCCGTCAGGGATGATGTAGTAGATCCAAGACTGAGGATTTACCGATTGCGATGCTCTATAGAAGGATATTGCTTTACCCAGAGCCATCTATCAAAGAAGATTAGTTGAATGGTTATAGAGGATTTCATGGGAAGATGGTTGGACTACGTTATTGACCAGTTACTATGGGATAAAGGAGGAAAGGACCGACCTTATCAAAGAAGGTCTGGTGGATTGCTGGAGGTGACCCTAAAGGAAAATGAGACTGTAGTAGTGCCCTATCTGTACCATCTAAAAACTGGTGAATACTTTCAAAATGGGACCTGACTTGGATAACGATGTAACGTGGTCGATCCAAGACTGAGGGTGTATGGTGTGGCGGGACTTAGGGCTATAGACGCTTCGAGAATGCCAACCATACCAAGTGAGAATACCAATGCCCCAGCCATTATGGTATGAGAGAAAGGAGCAGATTTGATTAAAGAAGATTGGCTGGATGGTTATAGAGGGTTTTAAAGGTAAAATCGTTCGCCTACAGATTGGAGATACTGATGCCAAGAAGATACCAATGCTTCAGCAATAATGGAAGGATAGAAATGTTCACATTTAATCAAAGAATATAGATTAGATGGCTACAGAGGATTTTGAAAGAAAATGGATCGCTCGCGGAGCAACTTGTAGTACCACATCCGTACTATATCCAATTGCACCTACCACCCTGTTGGAATTTACAAAAAGGGACCAGATTCCGTCAGGGATGATGTAGTAGATCCAAGACTGAGGATTTACTGATTGCGATGCTCTATAGAAGGATATTGCTTTACACAGAGCAATCTATCAAAGAAGATTAGTTGAATGGTTATAGAGGATTTTATGGGAAGATGGTTGGACTACGTTATTGACCAGTTACTATGGATAAAGGAGGAAAGGACGGACCTTATCAAAGAAGGTCTGGTGGATTGCTGGAGGTGACCCTAAAGGACAATGAGACTCTAGTAGTGCCCTATCTGTACCATCTAAAAACTGGTGAATGCTTGCAAAATGGGACCTGACTTGGATAACGATGTAACGTGGTCGATCCAAGACTGAGGGTGTATGGTGTGGCGGGACTTAGGGTTATAGACGCGTCGATCATGCCGACCATACCAAGTGGGAATACCAATGCCCCAGCCATTATGGTAGGAGAGAAAGGTGCAGATTTGATTAAAGAAGATTGGCTGGATGGTTATAGAGGGTTTTAAAGTGAAATCGTTCGCATACAGGTTGCAGATATTGATGCCAAGAAGATACCGATACTTCAGCAAGAATGGAAGGATAGAAATGTGCAGGTTCAATCAAAGAAGATAGATTAGATGGCTACAGAGGATTTTGAAAGAAAATAGATCGCTCGCGGAGCAACTTGTAGTACCACATCCGTACTATATCCAATTGCACCTACCACCCTGTTGGAATTTACAAAAAGGGACCAGATTCCGTCAGGGATGATGTAGTAGATCCAAGACTGAGGATTTACCGATTGCGATGCTCTATAGAAGGATATTGCTTTACCCAGAGCCATCTATCAAAGAAGATTAGTTGAATGGTTATAGAGGATTTCATGGGAAGATGGTTGGACTACGTTATTGACCAGTTACTATGGGATAAAGGAGGAAAGGACCGACCTTATCAAAGAAGGTCTGGTGGATTGCTGGAGGTGACCCTAAAGGAAAATGAGACTGTAGTAGTGCCCTATCTGTACCATCTAAAAACTGGTGAATACTTTCAAAATGGGACCTGACTTGGATAACGATGTAACGTGGTCGATCCAAGACTGAGGGTGTATGGTGTGGCGGGACTTAGGGCTATAGACGCTTCGAGAATGCCAACCATACCAAGTGAGAATACCAATGCCCCAGCCATTATGGTATGAGAGAAAGGAGCAGATTTGATTAAAGAAGATTGGCTGGATGGTTATAGAGGGTTTTAAAGGTAAAATCGTTCGCCTACAGATTGGAGATACTGATGCCAAGAAGATACCAATGCTTCAGCAATAATGGAAGGATAGAAATGTTCACATTTAATCAAAGAATATAGATTAGATGGCTACAGAGGATTTTGAAAGAAAATGGATCGCTCGCGGAGCAACTTGTAGTACCACATCCGTACTATATCCAATTGCACCTACCACCCTGTTGGAATTTACAAAAAGGGACCAGATTCCGTCAGGGATGATGTAGTAGATCCAAGACTGAGGATTTACTGATTGCGATGCTCTATAGAAGGATATTGCTTTACACAGAGCAATCTATCAAAGAAGATTAGTTGAATGGTTATAGAGGATTTTATGGGAAGATGGTTGGACTACGTTATTGACCAGTTACTATGGATAAAGGAGGAAAGGACGGACCTTATCAAAGAAGGTCTGGTGGATTGCTGGAGGTGACCCTAAAGGACAATGAGACTCTAGTAGTGCCCTATCTGTACCATCTAAAAACTGGTGAATGCTTGCAAAATGGGACCTGACTTGGATAACGATGTAACGTGGTCGATCCAAGACTGAGGGTGTATGGTGTGGCGGGACTTAGGGTTATAGACGCGTCGATCATGCCGACCATACCAAGTGGGAATACCAATGCCCCAGCCATTATGGTAGGAGAGAAAGGTGCAGATTTGATTAAAGAAGATTGGCTGGATGGTTATAGAGGGTTTTAAAGGTAAAATCGTTCGCCTACAGATTGGAGATACTGATGCCAAGAAGATACCAATGCTTCAGCAATAATGGAAGGATAGAAATGTTCACATTTAATCAAAGAATATAGATTAGATGGCTACAGAGGATTTGAAAGAAAATGGATCGCTCGCGGAGCAACTTGTAGTACCACATCCGTACTATATCCAATTGCACCTACCACCCTGTTGGAATTTACAAAAAGGGACCAGATTCCGTCAGGGATGATGTAGTAGATCCAAGACTGAGGATTTACTGATTGCGATGCTCTATAGAAGGATATTGCTTTACACAGAGCAATCTATCAAAGAAGATTAGTTGAATGGTTATAGAGGATTTTATGGGAAGATGGTTGGACTACGTTATTGACCAGTTACTATGGATAAAGGAGGAAAGGACGGACCTTATCAAAGAAGGTCTGGTGTATTGCTGGAGGTGACCCTAAAGGAAAATGAGACTCTAGTAGTGCCCTCTCTGTACCATCTAAAAACTGGTGAATACTTGCAAAATGGGACCTGACTTGGATAACGATGTAACGTGGTCGATCCAAGACTGAGAGTGTATGGTGTGGCGGGACTTAGGGCTATAGACGCTTCGATCATGCCAACCATACCAAGTGAGAATACCAATGCCCCAGCCATTATGGTAGGAGAGAAAGGAGCAGATTTGATTAAAGAAGATTGGCTGGATGGTTATAGAGGGTTTTGAAGGAAAATCGCTCGCCTACAGATTGGAGATATTGATGCCAAGAAGTGCTTCAGCAATAATGGAAGGATAGAAATTTTGAGATACAACAAAGATGTTATGCTACCACAGCCTATATATAGTCAGCAACTTTAGTAATAGTAATAAACAAAAAAAGTTGCATAGATTTTGAGATGGTTTTGAGTGTTTTTCAAATCACTATAGGTCTATTTTCTTATTTTTGTCTTGAAATACTATAAAGGGATGTCTAGAAAGGAGTGGAGAAGTACTTACACGTTCTAAATAAACATAGATGATAATGGATGAATGAAATCTATAAAGGCTTAAGTACATAGTTCACTACCTTGCTCCTCTATCTGAGATAGTTTCAAAGACTGAGATTCCAACAGGTGATAGTTTGCGCTGCCTTCAAGACGTACATCTGTTATTAAATGCTTCATATCTAGGTGGCTCCCATCCAAAATATGGAGGAAAGTATTTTAAAAATTCTGTTGTGAAAGACCTATTTATCGTCAAAAAATTAATAAATTATCTATCTGTTCGGAAGAAAAGTTCTACACCCAGTTCCAAAATATTAACAAAGCAGATCTTTAAAAAAGTTAGCATGACCTGGCCATTTATTCGTAAATTCATATTCCGATTGAATTTTACCATTGACCTATCATGTTTTCAGCTATATAAACATCAATGTCAAATACTTAATCATCATCATTCGGAAAGAACTGTTTGTAAAAACTGAACATTATTCTAGTATTTAGCGTATTTTTAAGGGCACAAACTCAAAAATGACATTTTTATCAAGCAAATATCCTGCTACAGTGTAAGTCATGATATATACTAAGTGACATATAAATCCGAACACCCAATTTAAATGGTTTTATTTTAATAACATTTTGTATAAGTACTTAATGAAGCATAATAAGTAAATGATAAAAATTTCAAAATGATTGCACTGCTTTAAAGCCCTTTGACCTTTAATAATGTGTGGATGCACCCTGATGTGCTACGCATTCTCCAACGCGCCTAGGCATGCTTCTGATCAGGTGGTCAATGTCCTCCTGTGGTATCTCATTCCAGGCAACCACCAACTCCTCTCGAAGTGCTTCTAGAGTCTGAGGAGGACGTTGCAAATTGAGCAATCTCCTACCCATCATATCCCACATGTGCTCAATTGGGGATAAGTCGGGAGATCTTGGTGGCCATGGTAACAATGTGACATCATTATGTTGAAAAAAGTCTATTGTGACTCTTGCAACATGTGGTCGGGCATTATCTTGTTGGAAAGTTGGATCTGCCAGGGTGTCAAGATAGGGTAAAAGATGGGGTTCTAGAACTTCGAGGATATAACGCTGCGCGTTCATGTTACCTCTGATGAAGATTAAGGTGACCTGGAACCATAAGCTATAGCACCCCACACCATAACTCCAACAGTGTGATGAACATGTCTTTCAACAAAAAACTGTGGATTCCTCCTTTCACCACGTTGCCTTCTAACCCTGGCACGACCATCGTGCATGCCTAAACAAAATCGAGACTCGGCACTAAAGACAATACTATTCCATTCCTGATCCCAGAGTGACCGTTGTCTGCATCACTCAAGGCGATTACGTCGGTGTAAGGGTTAGAAGGCGACGTGGTGAAAGGAGGAATCCACAGTTTTTTTGTTGAAAGACATGTTCATCACACTGTTGGAGTTATGGTTTGGGGTGCTATAGCTTATGGTTCCAGGTCACTTTTAATCTTCATCAGAAGTAACATGAACGCGCAGCGTTATATCCACGAAGTTCTAGAACCCCATCTTTAGGAGATTGCTCAATTTGCAACGTCCTCCTCAGACTCTAGAAGCACTTCGAGAGGAGTTGGTGGTTGCCTGGAATGAGATACCACAGGAGGACATTGACCACCTGATCAGAAGTATGCCTAGGCGCGTTGGAGAATGCGTAGCATATCAGGGTGCATCCACACATTATTAAAGGTCAAAGGGCTTTAGAGCAGTGCAATCATTTTGAAATTTTTATCATTTACTTATTATGCTTCATTAAGTACTTATACAAAATTTTATTAAAATAAAACCATTTAAACTGGGTGTTCGGATTTATATGTCACTTACATTGTGATTCACAAGTCGTGACCAAAAATGAAATATCATACACAGGACCGAATTTTAAGGGGGTCTTATACGTAACATTTTTGTCTCGAGGGCTGTTAAACTTTGAAAATATTTTTTTTATGTGGATTTACCTAAGTATTGCCCACATTCAAAAGCCTTTACTTGAAATTAATGTGCACCAGTGGCGGAGATACAGGGGATTAGTGGCATGATTTTTCCAATAAAAATAGTACGCCGCCTATTTTTTCCTAGAGTGCATTGTTTTCGTAAAAATAAAAACCGTATTAGATAATCAAAGTTTTATTTCAATGAATGTTCAAAAATAACCATTCTGTTCAAGACCTATTTTATTTTGAAACTAATTGTATCTCGGCTCTTCATGAATGATATAATTTGTTTTATTTTTTTTTTACGAAAACAGTGCACTCTAAGAAAAAACATAGAAGCAATTATATGTAGCAATTTAAAGATGAAATTCGTACTATTTTTATTTGGAAAAATAATGCCACTAATCCCCTGTATCTCCGCCACTGGTGCACGATAATTTTAAGTAAAGACTTTTGAATGTGGAGAATAATTAGGTAAATCCACATTCCAAATTTTAGTTCATTCCAGTTGACGGTTTTGAATATATTAAAGGAAATGTTTTTTTTTATTTTTAAACTTCAACACCCCGTATCTTTTTAATGAAGCCGTCGAGAAAAAAGGTTACATAGAAGACCCCCCTTAAAATGCGGTGCTGTTAATGACGTTTCATTCTTGGTTACGACTTGTGAATCACCCTGTATCTTTACATTCCATTACGAGTTATTATAGTAAGTGACATATAAATCCGAACACCCAGTTTAAATGGTTTTATTTAAAAAAAGTACTTAATGAAGCATAATAAGTAAATGATAAAAATTTCAAAATGATTGCACTGCTTTAAAGCCCTTTGACCTTTAATAATGTGTGGATGCACCCTGATGTGCTACGCATTCTCCAACGCGCCTAGGCATGCTTCTGATCAGGTGGTCAATGTCCTCCTGTGGTATCTCATTCCAGGCAACCACCAACTCCTCTCGAAGTGCTTCTAGAGTCTGAGGAGGACGTTGCAAATTGAGCAATCTCCTACTCATCATATCCCACACGTGCTCAATTGGGGATAAGTCGGGAGATCTTGGTGGCCATGGTAACAATATGACATCATTATGTTGAAAGAAGTCTATTGTGACTCTTGCAACATGTGGTCGGGCATTATCTTGTTGGAAGTTGGATCTGCCAGGGTGTCAAGATAGGGTAAAAGATGGGGTTCTAGAACTTCGTGGATATAACGCTGCGCGTTCATGTTACCTCTGATGAAGATTAAAGGTGACCTGGAACCATAATCTATAGCACCCCAAACCATAACTCCAACAGTGTGATGAACATGTCCTTCAACAAAAAACCGTGGATTCCTCCTTTCACCACGTCGCCTTCTAACCCTGGCACGACCATCGTGCATGCCTAAACAAAATCGAGACTCGTCACTAAAGACAATACTGTTCCATTCCTGATCCCACAGTGATCGTTGTCTGCACCACTCAAGGCGATTACGTCGGTGTAAGGGTTAGAAGGCGACGTGGTGAAAGGAGAAATCCACAGTTTTTTGTTGAAAGACATGTTCATCACACTGTTGGAGTTATGGTTTGGGATGCTATAGCTTATGGTTCCAGGTCACCTTAATATCCACGAAGTTCTAGAACCCCATCTTTTACCCTATCTTGACACCCTGGCAGATCCAACTTTCCAACAAGATAATGCCCGGCCACATATTGCAAGAATCACAATAGACTTCTTTCAACATAATGATGTCACATTGTTACCATGGCCAACAAGATCTCCCGACTTATCCCCAATCGAGCACGTGTGGGATATGATGGGTAGGAGATTGCTCAATTTGCAACGTCCTCCTCAGACTCTAGAAGCACTTCGAGAGGAGTTGGTGGTTGCCTGGAATGAGATACCACAGGAGGACATTGACCACCTGATCAGAAGCATGCCTAGGCGCGATGGAGAATGCGTAGCACATCATGGTCCATCCACACATTATTAAAGGTCAAAGGGCTTTAAAGCAGTGCAATCATTTTGAAATTTTTATCATTTACTTATTATGCTTCATTAAGTACTTATACAAAATTGTATTAAAATAAAACCATTTAAACTGGGTGTTCGGATTTATATGTCACTTAGTATATTTGGTGGAAATTTAGCTTCCTCGATACAAAAGAAAACAACGTGATCATAGAACAAAAATAGGCTCATCATAATTATCAAAATTAATCTTATATTTTCCATAGACGTCACATATGCATACTACGACGATAAACAAATTATTGTTAGCTATACTTATTTTTCTCCAAAAAAAAATGGTTTTGATAAATTGCTTCAATTATTTTTTGTGTGAAGTAGAATTTTAATTTACTGGGAAACGATCACGTAATATTTTTTTAATAACACCTTCAATACCGATGTGTCAAAGTTTTGAACAAAACAGTTGATCGCAACAAGATGACAAGCTACACCAGCATTTTGTTAATGGGATATAAGCAAGCATATGGAAACATTCAAGCGCAATAATTGCAAACATGTATTTGTATCATGGTGCTTACTTACAATAGGGCTACACATAAAGGATTGTGACTTCTCCAACTATACCATAGAATCTTTATCGAAAAAAAACTCCACAGTAACATTATCAAAAATGTCTACAAACCCTTTTCTGCATTATGCTCCATTTCTGTGCTTTCTGTAAAGGAGGATGGACTGCAAAAATACAGTATGCTGTATCTTTTACAGAACAAAATCATCCAACACATCATTATGTTCACTCATTGGATTCACTCTTCTCCTTCTTTCATTTCTTCTAACCTCAACAATGTATACTCATTTCTATTATAAAACATCTACATCTCCTACCCGCTAATCAACTGTCTCGCTTCAGAGCTGGGAAACACCTGTCTCTACACACCTCGTATAACCTCTCTTTCCGTACTCCCATCGTATCTTTTAGAAACGTAAATTTCATCTTCTTCCAGCTTCGTAAGCTCGTTCATCCGCTCCATCTCATCATTGAATGGCTGTCTTTCATTCTTATCTACACGCTTCGCGTCAAAAGAGTGGAGAAGGGGTACCAACAATTTTTTCATTACCACAAAGCTCAGCATTTTTTCTAGTACTCTAGCTGAAGGAGCATGTACCTTTGGCAAGAGTTGGCAGTAACACCACTGACTTAGTGTGTTCGATTTGAAACCGAAATCAATCTATCTGTGACAGGTTTCGTTTCTATGAAAAATATCATTATACACGTAATAAACATGACGTCAGTGGTGGTTCCAAAGATGAGTCAAGTAAATTAGATTGACTTGAGGTCATTCTATTTACAACGAAATTCATTGTACGTATCTAAGCAAAAATTAATGTACCCTATAATTAAGACGATCTTGATAACTTGTTATTGTAAATACTGTGTACATAATGTATAGCGAAATATGGTTACCATTTGTATTTTATATTGTTTGAATAAAGTATAATTTGTTTGTCTAATATGCGCTTTTTATTCATCACCGTCACAGAACATCCGCCTTATTCATCCGATTTAGCCCCATGAGACTTCCTCCTGTCCCCAAAATGCAAAATGGTGCTTCGAGGAAGGTACTTGGTGGATGTGGATGCCATTAAGGCAGAAACGACACGGCAAATGAAGAGCATCACAACTGAAGACTTTCACCGATCGTATCAACAGAGGAAACGCTGTTGGCAGACGTGCATCTTGTCTCAGGGGGAGTACTTAGGAGACCATGAAATACCAGAACAATTTTAAAATAAACTTTCCCGGTCGGTAGATCAATTAATTGAAAAATTCTCACGGCATGGATAGTCTGGAGTTTACAGTCTCCTTGATGAAGTTCAGAAATGGGTGAGACGGTTTAAAGGTGACACCTTAATATGTTGATTGCAGCGATACTTTTTTCCCAATTGCAATCAGTTCAAACTCGCGCTAATCAATTTTTATAGTCGGATATTCAAGTTTTGCTTTCTTGATTGTTTAATTGTGAAAAAGCAGAAGCTATCGATATATTTTAGTTGCGATGCTTGATAGATTTTGGTTAGAATTACACTGTTCTGTACGAAAATCCTATCCGCCAAACAAACACGTTATTCCGATTAGTTCAATATATTTAACCATTACACCGACCTTTAAATGGTCGTATCGCGTAACGGAGTCCAGGGAGTACCAACAACATGCTTTAAGCAGGTGTAAAAATGTATACTTTATCTGAAGTCACTTGAAACACTGTGAAATACCGGGTGCGTTTTATATATCTATATTTAACACGCTCTGTTGCTGCAAAAATCGCCAAATTTCGCAGCAAATATCCCCGTATCAGATCAAAGGCAGTTTCACCTGTCCACGTGGAGTAAAGCACGCCTATGCGTGGACATAGCCAATGAGAAAGCGTGTATTTCAGAGCTCCGAACAAGTGCAGGTGGCTACTGAAAATTGAAACAGTTTAGCCAGTGCCGTGTAGCGGTGAATAAACGTGTTTTCTTTAGTCTGTCCGTGTTTTTTCATAGATTTTATTAGTTTGTGTGTTTTTGACTTTTGAATACTCAGTTTACTTGTTGATTTAATTGTTGTGTTGATTGTTCTTGTGTGTCCTAAATATGGCTCTTTGGAGACCTTGGGAAAATGCTCCAAGCCACGAGGAGATGGTTGATGAACCTGTGCAGGCAGAATTCTTTCATAAAGATTTAGAGGAACAGACCCAAAGAGTAATCCTAAATATGTATGATTGTCTGAAAAACGAAAATCCAGATTCCTAGCAAAATCAAATTTTAAACAGAATTTGTATCCTGACAAAAATCAGTCGGTCTACCATTTATCGGGTTATAAAAAGGTGAGATGTAGTCAACCATTCCTTCCACAGAAAGCGCATAGGGCAAAAATTAAAAAGAATAGACGTGGGTTTTCAGGAAGATATTCGTAGTATAATATACGGATTTTATAAAGAAAATTTGGTGCCCACGTTGGAAATGATACGGGATAAATTAAAAGATTATCCTGAAGATTTTATAATTACAAATGCTTAGACTCACTGCACTGTATTGTAAAACTGTGTGGTTTTCAATACAAAAAATTAGATAAAAGAATGGTGATTATGGAGTCGTCTCGAATCGTTGAATTGCGCCAAGAATTTTTGCACAAAGTTAAAATCTATAGAGAGCAGAAAAGAAATCTGATTTACCTGGATGAAACGTGGTATGATACCCATGATGTTGTGCAGTACGGCTGGGTTGACGACAGCAACAAGTGCATTTTAAAGGCACCATGCAACCGTGGAAAACGAATCATTATTCTCCATGCTGGCAGTGAAAATGGATTTATACCTAATGCCTTGCTGTTATCTGCCAAAAATATCAAAGAATCATGTGCCGACTATCATGAGGACATGACCTCCGACTTATTTGAAAAGTGGATAGAGCAGCAGTTAATACCAAACATTTCCCCAAATTCAGTGATTATTATGGACAATGCGCCATACCATTCCCGACAGAAAAACAAAATTCCGAATACAGGCACAAAAAAACAAGACATTATTGATTTTATGAAGGATAAGGGAATGGAAATACCACAAAAATCAACCAAAGCCATATTATGGGAACTTATTAAAAGACAAAAATTTGAAAAAGAGTATGTTGTTGACAATCTGCTTCTACAAAATGGCCATGAAGTATTACATCTACCTCCCTAATACTACATTTTTAACCCGATTGAGTTGGTCTGGGCTGCTTTAAAAAAAAGTAAGAAAACATAATCAGACCCCTCAATTAAGTGAATCGCTATTGGCCACAATAAGACATGCAGTATCTCATATTGCTGCCACAGACCTATGGAAGCAGTGTTCTAGGCATATTATTGAAAAAGAAAATGAATATTGTGTTTTGCCTCCTGTAAATCCCGTTGTAATTCCTCTACAAGATGACTCTAGCGACAGCTCCGAAGGCGAGGATGATATATAAATACCTACCTGCTATGTAAATATTTGCCTATGTCAAACGTTGGAATTCTGTAATTTTTCCATTTCTTAACTTTCAGTCAACATAAATTAAACTCCCAATATAAGTATTTTTTATCCCAAATCAAAAAAATAAGAAGATAGTAAAATCCATTTGTTGTGATATAAAAACATTATGATTATCGTTCTAAATAAATGACCGCACGCGTATGATACGTCATGAAATTACAAAGGACGCGCCGACCAAAGGTTTTTATGCTATTTCAAGTGACTTCAGATAAAGTATACCTGTACTATATTTATCTTTCTATTGCATTATGGGGTACGACGTTGCCAAGTCTACGTTTTCTCTTAGGGTGGATTTCATCAAGTTTGTCAAATTAACAGTCCGTTATTCTCCACCTATAGGGTAACAGTCCGTCAAATACAGCGAATGAGCTTCAACATACAACCAACAAATTTCAGCAACCAATACGCTATGAAATGTTGAAAACAAAAAATTGTCAGATGGCAGCTTGTCCTTGAAACATCACCAGCGTATTGAATATTAAGAAATTATATATAATTCAGTCAAAATATAAAGAGATATTTGATTTTTGAATAAAATTCATGTTTTAATTACAATTGTTGATTTTTTATACATGTTTATATTATTTTCTTCAATTGATATGCGATTTTAATGATTTAACATCACCTCCCGTGTTTTTTTCCTATAAACCTCTTGCAGATAGCCATTAAACACCTACTTGATTGCAGGCTCTACCAACATTTCATAGATATTGCTCGTTTCCAAACATACATTCATTTACTTGCCGTTCATCAGAACCATTATGGCACCTTAGATTGATATTCCCACAAAACCATTCAGGTCTTTTGATATCCATACATCCATAAAGTTGAATATTTTTCCTTGTTCAGGAACTGAACAAACATCCACACTATATTTACAGCGATTAAGAAATACTCAAATATATGTGTTAAATTTCTTGTTTCACTGAGTACACATTCTAGGTTATATTTATATCAGACATTATTTGAATAACAGCTGATTATTACATTTCAAAACTCCCCAACGAGTAACACATGTGTGGGATCCGTCTACCTTTGGTTTTTTGATGTCCATACATCCATAAAGGCCATTTTTGAGAGTGCGACATGGTTGCCAGATTGTGCATTAACATCCCGTTTCACCCCTCTGGTCCCAGTGGAGTACGCTCCACCAACTGTTGAAATATATATATATATATATATATATATATATACCGGGTGGTCCATCTATCGTTTTTTTTTTGAGTTACTGGTTTTTTGGGATATGTCAAGACTTATTTTGCATCTGATTTGACAGAACATCAGTCATATCATTCCGATTAACGAAAATGGTTGTGTATTCGCTTGAACAACGCTGGGAAATATTAAAACAATATTTCGAAAGTGGTGGTAATGTTGCAGATTTTGGTCGAAAAATCATCTTTTCAGATGAAGCGCATTTTTATCTTGGCGGCTATGTTAATAAGCAAAACTGCCGCATTTGGGGTTCAGAGAACCCACACGCAATCGAAGAAAAGCCAATGCATCCAGAACGAGTGACTGTTTGGTGCGGATTTTGGGCTGGTGGCATCATTGGCCATTTTTCTTTGAAAATGAAGCCGGAGCAGCAGTTACTGTGAATGGTGAGCGTTACCGTACCATGATAAATGAATTTTTCTTTCCACAAATTCAAGATATTGATGTCGGTAACATCTGGTTTCAACAAGACGGTGCTCCGTGTCACACAGCTAACGCTACGATTGCTCTTCTGCGAAGTGTTTTCGGTGATCGCATTATCAGCCGAAATTCTGATGTTGTTTGGCCGCCTCGGAGCTGTGATTTGACCCCATTAGATTATTATTTATGGGGTGCCATTAAAGACCAATGTTATGCCAACAAACCAGCAACAATTGGCGAAATAAAAGAGAACATACGCGCTGCCATTGCTGAAATACAGCCACATACGATTGAAAATGTGGTCAAAAATTGGACTGACCGTATGGGCTACTGCAAAGCCAGCCGCGGCAGTCATTTAAATGAAGTTGTATTCCATACTTAATCGGAAGGATTGTACTTTCAAATAAAAAAAAAATTTGAAAAAATATTTAGTAGTTTTTTTT